CTCTCTAACGTCTTATATATAGTTTACGAGCCTGTTACTCGTTAGCATTGCTTAAACATTTACATAATATAACGCAGAAATCAATGATCGTTTTGTCAACGTTGTTCAAAGGGACACAATTTGAGTTATCGATCTTTGAAACAAAACTTACATTATGCAAATTTCCAAATAAACATTCAATCACAAGGACAAATTGTATATAAAAGCTGTCTTTGGAGGGAGGATGGTGGGGGAATATTTCTAATACATTGACAAGTAAAATAATTGTGCTTGTTTAAATACAAGTAGAAGTGCACCATATTGCACTCTGCTGCAGTACAATGCGATACATTGTGATGCCTGCCAAATTGTTCAATCAAAATTAACTTAGTCAATTTTTTTTTCTAATATTGAATTTAAAAACTGATTGAATACACACACTTTTTTTTTCATTTTATGCTTTGAAAAAAAAAAGGTTTCAAAAACAGACTAGAGAGCATTTCTTTTATTCTCATATTCTTAAATATTTGTTTTCTTTGATATGAATCAAAATTAACAATCCGTAATTAAGTCGAAAGACTTTCGCAAAGTTACATGTTGCTGTTTTTTTTTATCGAACGACTAGTTTGGGTATGCGCAAAAGATCCAGAAGAAATGAACACTCCTTAAAATTTTGGACTGATGAGTGTATTTTTTGTTTGTTTGCAAGAGAATTTATACTGTTTACCATTATAAGAATTTACAATGTAACTGCATTTTATTGCACTGCACTACAATGCAATGTCAATCAATAAAATGAATTCCATTTTTGTTTTACATTATGGTATTGAAAATAAGGTGGAAATTAACATAATTTCTAATATAGTTTTCTTTTTAAAAATGTTCTGAAAACAGACTGGATGGAATATTTTCATTTATGATTGTTCTCTTTCATATGAATCTAAATTAACAATGCAGTAATAATGTCGAAGGATTTTTCGACAATTTTTTTTCATTGCTGTTTATTATTTGATGCAACGCCTAGTTTGGATATATGAAAGATTGAAAAAGAGAGAAATCTCGTGTTTGACTGATGAGTGTAAATTTTGAGAGTGGTGCAGATAAGCACCAGGAAGGATAAACAGAATATATTCTGATAACAGTACTTAGAGCTAAGTTCTCATCAAAGAACAGTTACTTTTGCTGATTTTTTTTAATTGAAAGACTGATATGGATATATGCGAAACATCCCGAGGAAAAATTGAGTGTCAAGTGAAGTTTTTTAATTGCAAGCTAATTAATTTTGCTTTTAAATAAAAATATAACTGTCCTACAATACATTGCATTGTAATGCTTGATGTACTGTCTAATTAAAACATACTTGGTTAAGTTTTCTTATTAGGCAAAACAGTGAAAAAAATATATAAACTTTCGTGTTTGACTGATGAGTGAATATTTTGAGACTCCAAAAAGCGCCGAAGGACATTTGTAGAACAATCAAAGGCGCTTTTCAATACTGCTTAGCAGTACTTGTTTAGTGAGATAAGCTCACACTAAGTCCTTTACACGCGACATTACCGTTATTTACTCTGACTTTAAAACATGGTCATTTGTGAATGTCTCTCTAACGTCTTATATATAGTTTACGAGCCTGTTACTCGTTAGCATTGCTTAAATATTTACATAATATAACGCAGAAATCAATGACCGTTTTGTCAACGTTGTTCAAAGGGACACAATTTGAGTTATCGATCTTTGAAACAAAACTTACATTATGCAAATTTCCAAATAAACATTCAATCACAAGGACAAATTGTATATAAAAGCTGTCTTTGGAGGGAGGATGGTGGGGGAATATTTCTAATACATTGACAAGTAAAATAATTGTGCTCGTTTAAATACAAGTAGAAGTGCACCATATTGCACTCTGCTCGAACTCTTCAGTGTACAGTGTTTAGAGCTCCCGGTCCTTAGAGTTGTCTTTCTTGAAATGTTGGGAAAATTAAAATCAGTGAATCATTATATTCTTTGAACCAGGACGACAGCAGGTTATGAAAGGAGGCACTTCATCCCAGAAATCAGAAAATCTTTTATAATAGGTATAACATTACTTAGATTCTAGTGCATTCTTGAACACTCCAACCCGCATTATTATTACTTAAACAAATTCTAGCAACAGTATCTTCAACAGACGAAAGACAAATAATGAATATTTCTTCAAAAATGATATTATCGGTTTTTTTGAAGGGGTGCGATCGCATCAAACCCATCCTTTTTCGACCACATTGTAATATTTGAGAGATGTTTGATTTATCACACATGCTCTTGCTACCGTAAGGATGTCATTGCCTGGAAACCGTTATCATAGTAACCTTGTTGACAGACCCTATCAGAGGATGATTGGCTTTTGATTGGTCACTTGGTTTGACTTTAAGTCGACATAAACATCACAATTACCGGTAATACATGTAAGCAATGGGATTTCCAATACACTTATAGAATTGTTTTCTTGTGTTTGTTTTTAAATATTAAATACCCACGAAACAATTTAATATTAGTTACACCTTCTTTTACTTCGTTTTTTAATATAAAATGCAAAATTTGCTGTGTCGATTGCAGAGCAATATCTCATTTCGTCTAACATTTTTTTTTATTTATTACATCGTATATCACATTAGTTACATTGGTGAGCTTATGAGTTATTTTGTCTTTTCGCAAATTTTTATATTGAAATCGAATATATGCTTGGTCTAAATTGTTCGTAAAACTAAACAATTTTTTTGTTCAAGTAAAAAAAAAAAATTCGTTGGAGAACAGTGTATACATTGAAATTTATTGATAGGAAACCTAACTGGTGTTGTTTTTTTTTTTTTCTAAACTTGTGTGCGATCCTTTTATGCTATAATAATTGTTCTGTACATTGTTTCTAATCACTAATTGTTCAAATAAAGCTAGGGGAAAATCACTGTGAAAACTGAAAAAAAGATTTGGTAATATTCAAAAGATTTTTTTAAAAAAAAGATGATAAAAATTTCGATGTCATATTTCGGAATCTTTTTCTGAGTTTTTAATGGGAGATGCCTATGATTTGCAAATTAATATTTAAAAAGTAAATTAAAAGTCAGTTGATTTGAAGTTTTGTTTTGATGACTGCAGGAGACGGGAGAGCTAGGTTTTATCTCTTTATCAGGCTGTGGCTAAAGCTGACACCGAAACATTCCCCGCCAGTAATGGAAAGTTTTCCCAAACTCCATCACCCCGTGCAGCTAATGGCCGCGAGATGGCGATGCATGACGTCACAGGTTCATAATGAGACTGTTTGTATAACAAGCCCATGCTCCGAATAGTTCCACGAAGATGTGGAATTTATGTATTTTATTTTTCATACACTATGGCCATTTGCATGTTTTGAAAACTAATGTATTGCGACATTTTTTCCTTCAAAGATCTGAATATGAATCTATTACCAGTTTTATTTATATGTAGATTATGGACGTAGAATTCAAAACAGGATCCTATATGCTAGTATATAAGTCTCTGGTCAAAACGAAAATTTGATTCAAATAAATTTTTATCATGTTCTAATTATAGGTAAAAATTGTATATTACTCTGACGTAAAATAATAGTTCAATGAAGTTTTATGATTTATTTTAAAGGAAAAAAATTGATAACATGAATGCATGTACACTAGTAGTTTCAAATTATGATAGTGATAGGTTCATTAAAACACGTATCTGGTATCAACAACACTTTTTAAAAGTCAGAAAAGTTCTAGAGAGAATAGAGAAAAGGTTTTTCCATAAGAGAGGAAGTATTTAAAATCAAGTTAGATTTAATCATAGGAATTATTAAGATACCGGTGTGTTATATATGTATGTTCTTTTAAATGTTCATGTGCTTTGTAATTTTAATGCCCCCCTTTTCCCCACTTCCTAACCCTTTTCTTTTAAAATATTTGTACCTTCTAAAACATTGTATTTCTTTCTAAAAGCGAGTTTTGTAATTAAATGTTACAACTAAAAGTTGTTTAATTTTGTGGAAATTAGCTGGACAGTAGACAATAATATTCTGGGCCTGTTTTACAAAACAACTACGACCAAAATATATTTTCAGAAAAATTTTCTTCTTCAAGTTTATTTGAAAATTGTTTGAATCTTTTTCAACAAGAATTTTGAAAGGTATTTTACACAAGAAACTCATAAAATTAATTTTGCAAGATTTAAAGTATAATCAGTTCTTTATTATATAAAATAAATTTCAGTATTAAAAGCCCAGGCTCTGGTGCCATAAAACTAAGACGAGCTCACTTTTGACCACAGTCTCACGTTTACCAAAGGAATTAATAGTGGAAAAAAGAGACTGAGATCAAAAGTGAGCTCGTCTAAGTTTTATGGCCCCGGAGCAAGATGTTTAGCTACATGTAAACAGTAATATAGTTCAATGTAAAGTGTAAGCACCGTCTGCTTTTCGGGGGGGGGGGGGGGGGTTAAAGTAGATGCAATACAAGTGCATTTCTTAAGAAAAATTCATAAATTTATGCAAAAGGTTGATTTTTTAAAATAATTGTTCATCAAAGAATGTACATGTATAACGTCTTTCTGTCTTGAAATAATTTATTGAAGAAAAATTAGAATAAACTAGAAAGAACACAGAAAATCTCGAGCAAAACATCTGAAACTTTACAGATTCAAATAAATTGGAAGTTAACAGTATACAGCTAATTCTGGTTATGAACTGAATGGTTTAAGAATTATATAATGTAATGCAGACTATTTATTATAAAAAATAAAAAAAAAATTGATCAATAAATTAATATATTATGACTTAATATGTCACATCATTGGTCTTATCCACCAATAAATTGATAAGTGTGTTTTAAGCTTTAAATTGTAGCCGCTTTGGGAGGATGTTCTTTTTAAACATCATACTGTGCGTTCAGATTAAAAACATAATAAGATAAACTGGAATCCTCACGGACAATGTAAGCAAAAAATACTTATTTGAATAATTGTTAATAAGCACAAAAAGCCTAAATATGCATGTATATAACAAGTGTAATCAAGCCACGATTCTCATAATATACAGACAAAAGGACATGACGTAATATCACAATGTACAACGTTACAATGACATCTTATTGTTTGATGTGTTAATGACGACACTCAAGAACCAGAAGTCACGTGACTATCCACAAAGTTGACTGAGCCGGGCTGCTTGACCCATGAGGGTCATGATGTCCGAAGTGGCCGAGCTGAGAGTCGTGTTCAAACTGGACATCTTCGTGTTCATGTCTGTCTTAATGGCGTCCACATACTGCAAGGCCGTCTTTCCGTTTGCGGTGGTGAAGTTTCCTTTTAGAGCGTGGACATCCTGTTCCAATTGCAGCAGTTCTCCAGCTTGTTGTGTTATCTGAAATAATGAGTTGAAGCAATGGAAATTATTTGCATATCACACATTAAATTGCAACATTTATTTTTATTGACTTTTCAATTCTTAATTTTGATTTAACATATATATAAGAATTTTGATTTAAGATATATATAAGGTGAGATTAAGATAAAATGTAGATTAAAGACATTAATAGTGACATTAACGAATCTTCTTATATATTTGTAAAACTTGCAACAATTTTACGAATAAAGAAATTGAAGAGTTGAATCCCTTACCGTGCCGTTGAGTTTCTGCAGATCTTGTTCGACTTTGAGGGCCTCCGGAATGAGTTTCTTTATATCGTTTTTGTTCTTTATGATCTGTATTTTGTCTTTGATAATGTTTCCACCGAGCTGCTGAAGATTGCTGATCACTGTAGTGACGTTCTTGCTCGTCTCCAAAATCTCCTGTTGGAGAATAGTCATTTTTGGCGTGACGTCCTTCTGGAACTGGGTGAGATTGTTGATGGCGTCTTTGACCTCCTGTTCAGTGACTTTAAGCCTAGAGAATGCCGCCTGTGATGTGGTTTTAGCATTGGCGATCTCTTGTGTCTGGTTTGTTACTTCAGTCTTGATTTGGTCTGCTTTGTGTGTCAGATCTGTGATCTGTTTAGAGTGGGACTGTTCTACTTGTTTCACCTCTAATTCGAGTTTCTGGAGTTGAGACTTGAGTTGGTTTAGAAGAGCCGTGGGCGCTGTTGGCGCCGGTCCTGTGGTACTTGCAGCACCAGTTGTTGTGCTGCGCGTGCCTTGGGTGGTTGTTGTCGCCGGTGGCATTGTGGCGACAGGTGTGGATCCCGACTGCATATTCTTCAGCATATTCTCAAGTGTAATAAGCTTTAGTTCTGCAGCAGCTATCTTAGTCGTCTGGTCGTTGATCTGTTTATTTAAAGCTGTCTGAATCTTCATTTCTTCAACAGCACTCTTTTGCAATTGCATAGTAACGTTGAAAATTTTACCGTTAATGTCGCTGATGGCTTTTGTAAGTAAATCTTTGGTGTCGTGTAACATCTGATTGAGCACCGCAGAATTTCCAGAAGATCCTCCGCTTCCGGTGGACGCAGTGGCCGCCAACTGCTTTAGTTTCTGGACTTCATTATTCAAATCATTCAACTTGCTCATATAACTAGCACCATCACTCTGAATACGTGCTAGCGTGCTCTGGATGATGCTGTTCTGAGACACATATTGGAACTTTGTCTTATCTAGATCCTGTTTCACTTGATCCACTTTCTTATCCAAAGCTGAGGAAGTTCCAGCACACGCACCTTTTGGATCTGCTACATGGAATTGGTAAGTACATGTCCCACTGTTCTGAGTGTTCCCACTGTTAGGAGCGGGCTGGGGAGGTTTTGTCGTCGTCACTTTGGCTTTCTGGGTGGTGGTTGTTTTGAGGCTCAATTTTGTCGGCAGGGGTTTGATTGGAATAAACTGGGCAGAACATGCCGCCAGTGCCACCAAGAATATCGTGAGTTTTCCGTACATTATTGAGTCTGAATTAGCCGTTCCGATGCAGACGACGTTTATTAAAGTGGTCAGGATGTCTTGGATCTTTATAAGTTTAGGGGCGGGAGAGTTGTGGGGCTTATCTTGTTTGCATAAACAATTGGCGAATGATTGGCGGATACGAGAGCAGAAGGCAAACTGAACAAACAAGCTTCTAACAGCTTCATGTTTCTCAGGAAAAAGACATCCTGGTAATCTTAGGGACTGAAAAAAAATCACTGATGTTGACCAGTTGTCCGAGTCAAACTTAAACAAAGCCATCGGTAGTGGTTGGGGGCTGGTTTTGTCGCTAAAACATGAAACTTGCACCCTGTGCTCTGTTTCAGCACTTTGCGTCAGAATTACCAAATAAATGGCGATTCCAGACTGCAGAGCGGGGCTCCACATACAACCAAATTAAATTTACTTTAGATTCTTTCCCAAACTATAAACTCGTTCCAATTTTCTAGACGTGTAATATCTAGGTGTAGCATCATTTTGCTATGTATCTATAATCTAACAGTTTTTTTTACCCGTTTTAGAGGAAAAGTCTTGTCATTTTTAGTCCAAACGTATATAAACTTTTCCTCAGTTGTCCTGATTATCTACCAATTAAATGGGGGTCATGGCGAATTGCCTCGAGTTTATCGAAGATAGGAATGAAGACTATTTAGATTTCGTGTAAGTTGGTGTAATATTTTTCTTCATGTTGTGACCATTAGGGTATACCAGTATTTTACTTGAAAAGCTGCGCAATGTAGACATACACGCCTCTGTGATAACTTGAGAAGATATACATGTACATGGACATTTATACTTCATGTAAATATTCAACTTATTAGTCTTTTTGTACTGCATGCATTTTGGCCTTGAAAAATAGCAGCTTCTCTGTGAAAAAGAGCTTTAAATGAGTAAAAGAAAAATCTATATATGAGTGTTTAGTCTAAATAATAAATCAAAATATAGTTTATTTTTTCTTTGTGTGGATAAATATTACCACGCCAGACCCAACCGCAAAATCATAAATACACAATTCTGTTTGCAAAATCGATATATTACAGATCTCGAGATAATAAGAATTATTTCAGGTACATGTACGATTACTTAGGAATATACTAAATAGATAGAAATCAGACGACAACAAACAACAAGCCGAAGGGCAACAGTGCTTACCTGAGTTATTTGCTCTACTTGTTCTTGAGAATATTTTTAATTTTTTCTCTTTATTCCTATATAAATTTTTACCCCATTTGTGGTCCCATCCTACACTCTGGGGTTATGATTTGAACAAACTTAAATCTGCATTATTGAGGATGCTTGCGTATAAATATAAATAATCATGCTCTGATAGATTTTGAAATGAAAATATTCTTAGATATTTTTTTCTTTTATTTTCCTATAAAAAATAATTTATTCCCCCCTCCTTGGAGGGCCTGACTCACATCTCTTAATCGGCACTTCTTAAGGATGCTTGATAATAAACAAATATATGATTAATCATAACAATGCTGTTCTTGAGAAGATTTTTAAGTAACTTCTAAATGGCTAAACTCTACCCCCAGGGACCTTGATTTGAACAAACTTGATTCTACACTACCTGAGAATGTTTGCTTACTAACATCATTAGTCATAATTCTGTTGCTATTTTAAATGATTTTTCCCCATTATGATCAAATGTAAAACTTCGATCATATATTTTGGCCACTATCCACAGGTCCATAATTTGAACAACCTTGAACCTGCACTATCTAAAAATGCTTGCATTACTTGCAGATGAATATTACTAATCATGACTCTGCTGTTCTTGAGAAGAAAATGTTTAAAGATTTTTTTAAAAATTAATTTTCCCGTATAAAACTTTAACATATTGTGGCCCACTCTACCCCCAGGGGGTCACAATTTAAACAAACTTTAATCTGCACTACATAAGTATAATTATATATTACATTTATTACATATTACATATAATTACATATTAATATGACTAATCTCTCTTGAGAAAAAAAAAATTAAAATGTGTTCCCAATATGTTCCCATGTAAAACTTGATCCCCTACTGTGGCCCCACCCTACCCTCGGGGGCATGAATTAAATAAATTGAATTAGCACTAATCTGAGGATGCTTGCATATTAATATCATTAATCAAGGCCTTCTGTTTATGAGAATAGAATTTTTAAAGGTTTCCTCCTACATATCCCCATGTAAAACTTTATCCTCTATTGTGGCCGCATCCTACCTCCGGGGGTCAACAAATCTGAATCTGCACTACTTGAGGATTTTTTTTTATACTCATATGACTAATTATGGTCCTGTTTTTCTGTTCCATTTATTTTTCTGTTACACTTTGACCCCCTTTTGTGGCCCCACCCTAGCCTTAAGGGTCATGAGTTGAACAGACTTAGATCTATTATAAAAAGGAAGCTTTCTTGCAATTCTTTTCTTTTCTTTAAAAGAATATTTTCTAATTATCCCCCCTTGAAAGAAGATATGGCACTCATCTTTAACAAATCCCCTTCACCAATTAAGGATGTTTTGTGACAAGTTTGGTTGAAATTGATCCACTGGTTCTGGAGAAAATGCCGAAAATGTGGAAAGTTTACGGACAACAGATGAAAGAAGACAGACAACAGACGGACGGACGGACGCCGGACACCCTTTTATGAGGAAAACGTACATGAGCTTCTGACTTTTTTAAAAAGCATTCCCTTTAAAGAAAATTATATGGAGGTGAAAAATAATATGTATATTTACTTCTCAACCGTTTTACATCAGAAATAGCGCAAAACTGCGCACAAAAGTTGAAAACCCATTAATCAATTTTTCAAGAATTCTTTTACCCCTTAAACACATATTAGTAAATAACGAAGTAAGTCCCCCCCCCCCCCCACCACCACCACCACACACACACAAACATACAAAAAAATTGCACACATACAATTATAAAATAAATAAAATTAAATATTACAAATTTCTCTTTCGTACATTAAACACCATAATAATGTTTTGTTTTTTTAAAAAAATGATAATAATAAAGGATCCTGCATTTTAAAAAAAAACAAACAAAAAAACGAACAAACAAATAATTCGTGCTCTTTGTTCTTATGAGGGAATCAACCATTAATCAATAAATCAATCAATCAATAGGCCGCAGCCAATCACAAAAAGTCACATACATGTACCTTGTATTAAGAAAATAAAGTGAAAATATTAGCTGAACGTTTGTGGACGGAAAGGATGGTGGAGATGGGTGTACAAGCTGATAGAAAGGAGTGTGAATAAAAAGAATTAAAAGTTTTACAGATTTTAATTTACTTAATTGTTTCTTAGAGATTAAGTTATCTTCAATGACTATTAGATTCCCAATTCCATGATCAATGTAATTAAGTTTTGTTTGTGCACAATGATTGTTCTTTCAGTCTGAGGATTGCTAGATGTATAAAGGTTTGGATGAAATGTTGTGAAAACTGAATTAATAAACACCGGCATTTCCTTATCTGACACATATTATTCCTTTGTAAGAGACAAGGACACACCTGCAGGGGTCCAGGCAGGGGTCAGTCTTGTTAGGGGTACCTACATGACAAAGTTAACCAGGTAGTAAATAATAATTCAGACATTAATTGTTAAGGAAATTGCAGATACTGCCATCACAAGAAATTACATCCTTAGCTTTTTCCACGAATCAATATAATTATTCCAGTCGAAATCATAAGAGATTAATATTTATTAATTAATTCAACGAATCATGTTAAAAAAAATGGCGTATTCGATAACATTTAAAAAAATCTAATTAATTAAATACTTCAAAAACTTTGAATTAATTAAAAAATAATTAATTAATTAATTAAATCAAACGAAATCATGTCAAAATATTACGTATTCGATAATATTTAAAACTTGATTTTTCAAGCAAATCAGTTTAAAAATTAACACCCCATTTTAGTTATTTATTTTTTCTATTATCAGAAAATAAATTTACGTATACATATGTTTTTTTTTAAACGACAGCAACACATATTTTAACTTGCTCAAAGTAGTAAATCAAATTATTGGTACATGTAAATAAGCCTCTTTGCGTCAAAAGAATTTCGTGTTTAAATGTCAAATAATATAGAATATCAAATAAATAATATTTTTAATAAATTTATTATTCATACAGGAAAGTATTTAAGAATAAAATTCATCAAACGAGTGTAAATTGGGAATAGGTATGAGGAAGTCTCTAATATTGGAGGGGGAAGAAATATACAAAGATGAGATCATCGTCATGTGAACGTTTGTCAGAAGAAGAAAATTTCAAATTTCGAGATAAATATAGTTTCTAATGGATGGAGGTCGCATAAAATTAGTTGTTTCATAAGCTGATTTGGTGGGAGTTTGGTTTCACAACTCTGTTTGACATCTAAACAATGAAAAACAATACGATAAAGTTTCTATTATGTGAGGTTCTTAATCGGCGCCGTGAGTAAGTCTTTTGACAAAACACTATTTTATTTGGTCATTTCAAACCACGGGTCCCGTGAAATCTTGATTTCACAGTTTCACATAATCCGAAATATTTTCTGTTTGTCTCCTACGATAAGATTAGAGAAGAGGTTGATGGCTGCAGCCAAACTTTCAATTAGTGTATTCTGTCGACATTCCATTGGAAGCTAGGAACAAAATCATTATGCAACCAATAAGCGATTCTAGGGGATTTCAGTCACAGTTGTTTTCATCTTATTGGTGGCAGTAAAACAAGTTCATTTCCGTCGTCGATAGCAGGCAATCACTGCGCGGTCTAATCTACGAAGCCTGACGTTTACGCCTCCTATACTCCATAATATCACTCACGTTTTTCGGCTATAAGATACGACTCGGGTTCAGGTGGCAGACAGACTTGATTTAATCCCTTAAAGAAGTAACTACCAGCATGAAGTCTGTTGCAGTCTATATTTGGTTACTTTTGGGCGTGTCTCGCGCTGTGTGGGGATCCAATTCCTGTAGCTACTATTACAATATACCCAAATCTCCGGGGGCGTCTTGTGAGTCCCAGGGTGGTGTGGATAGAGACCTGGAGGAGAAAATATGGAAGTTGGAGGGAGGGATTGAGGGAATCAAGGTCATTGGTAAAGCCAGTATGAATTTAGTGACAACCGTTCAAACTACTGCTGGACAGTTACACTCGGGTCAACAGATGTCCGATCTTAATGCCTTGCAGAAGCAGATTGATGGTCTAAAAACTATTTTTAAGTCGCTCCCAACCGGAAATCAACACCCGCGTGCTGCTAAACCGACGCTTCAGAAAGAGGCTGCAGAATTATCAACGGCGGAATGGAAGTTGATCAATATTTCCATGGAACTTAAAGCGAATGAAAGAAGCAGATCTATTGTGATGAGCAGCATAGAACAAAAACTTCAAGCACAAGAGAGAAAACTGACAAATTTACTTAATAAGATCGCCATTTTGGAGTCGAAGATCATGTCTCACGTGTCTCATCATAGAGGTAAACGCGCGGCCACGCCATCTTCTCAGGACGTGGAAATAACCAACATGACCAACAAAGCTATAGATCTGCGGGTTGACGTTCGCTCTCTTGGACAGAATGAGCAGAAGAAATTGACAGATTTAACTAAAACGATAGACGGATTGAAGAAACCTGTGGCTGACGCCAAAGCTGATCTGAAGAACCTCACCTCATCTCTCAGCGGAGTGGCTACTAGATTAATGAAGGTGTCCAGCGATGCTAAGAACCTTCAACAAACCGCACAGAATGTATACGTGAACATCAAGCCGAAGCTGGACCAAGTGGAGAAGGAATATCGCAACCTCTCCGAGCAACTCCGAAATGCCACCATCGACTATACTACAGCCCTTACAGATCTGGCAAAGAAATCAAATGATGTGAAACAAAACACGAAAGACGTTGCAAAATTGAGAGCTGATTATATTAAGTATAGGAATGACTTCAACTACTTGCACATGAATGCAACGTTCCAACATGCCGAGATGGTGAAGCTGGAGAAAAATCCAATTGTTTTGATCGGAAAAGTGGATTTCGACGTAAAGACTTTCATTCTGAAGGCCGATAAGTCTCTCGCTCAAGTCAATAGAGTTCTACCAGTTCTAAAAATGCGCGTTAAAATGCTCGGTGGCAAACCAACGACAATCCCCTCTGGTTAAAATGGCCTTCGATGTGTCTGTGTTAAGGACATTGGTGCAGTGACGTTTGATTTATGAAAAACAATTGATTACAGAAATTATTTGTGCTTCTGTTTTATTTACAATGGTAAGGATGTGAATGTATAGCTTATTTAATAAACAATTATTTATCTCGAGCATGCAAAATCGAGGTTAAAGAAATTTGTATAAGACTCTTAAAAACAATTAAAATTTTACATAGCAGACACTTTAACAATTTCATTGTTTTAAATAATCGAAGCTTTAAAATAAGTTAAAATGTTCATATATTATTGAAATATTTTATGATTACTCCGCTATTCATTCGTGAAAAGAATTCAGTGTTAGGTTTAAATCCTATACATTAATTTATTTATTTTGCATGCAGATGCTTTAATACACTAATCGTAAACAGACTCATAGCAATGGTTTCGATAGTGTGTGTGTAAGGGGGGGGGGGGCTTCCAAAAAAATTTGAAAACCTGACAAGAAAAGGGGGAAAAAATATAATATCCAAAAAATGGGGGGGGGGGGGCAACTTCCCTCTTCCCAAAAAATCCTCCAAGTTCTGGAATTTGCCACTGCTCGACCTAACAGCACCAAAAAGTGTGTGGGGGTGGGGGGGGGGGGCGGGAGAACCAGCATCTAAATGAAAATTTACTACATCAATAGCAGAAAAAAGTGCCCCCCCACACGTTCTATACTGGCTTGGCATATTTCCCATTTTGCGCTTGGTATTATTTTGAAACCTACCAGTTACATGTACAAAGGAAAAATCAGAGAAGGAAAAAATGACTGGACTTTTAAAACCCAAAGCATTCCGAGTAATTTCTCTTTATGATAGAAGTTACCTATTCAAATACCCAGGTTGTAGATTATTTATTAGAAGTGTAAATTAACTCTGCAATTTAAAAAGAAAATACACATTTCTTGTCATCTTGTTTCATGGTTATAAAACCAAGATGTGTTTGTGAAACACTGATGCCCCCGTATGGCAACTCATATCAGAGGATAAACTTTCTCAAATGCAAATCAAATATGTTGGTACCCAAAATAAGGTCTTGTCTCGAGGAATATACCTATGAAATATGGAAACCCTTGCAACAACCATTGAACAGATATGGAAAAGGTTAAAGTTTTTCAAAAGTAAGTCAAACATCAAGGTCAAGTTCAAATGGTCAAAATTAATGGTGCCCAAGGAAAGGCCTTCTCACAAGAAATACACATGTGAAATATGAAAGCCCTAGCACCAAGCGTTCAAATGTTATGGCCAAGGTTAAGGTTTTTCAAAAGTAGGTCAAACTCCAAGGTCAAAGGGTCAAAGTTGTTGGCATCCAAATTTAGGTCTTGTCACAAGGATTACATTATGTGAAGTATGAAAGCCCTAGCACCAACTATTCAAAAGAATGGTCAAGGTTAAAGTTTTCCAAAAGTAGGTCAAACTCCAAGATCAAAGGGTCAAAGTTATTGGTATCCAAAGGAAGGTCTCGTTAAAAGAATTACATATGTGAAGTATGAAAGCCTTAGCACCAACCGTCCAAAAGTTATGGCCAATGTTAAAGTTTGCAAAAGTAGGTCAAACTCCAAGGTCAAGGTCAAAGGGTCAAAGTTGTATCCAAAGGAAGGCCTTGTCACAAGGATTACATATGTGAAGTATGAAAGCCCTAGCACCAAACGTTCAAAAGTTATGGCCAAGGTTAAAGTTTTGCAAAAGTAGGTCAAACTCCAAGGTCAAGGACAAGGTCAGAGTTATTGGTATTCAAAGGAAGGTCTTGTTACAATGATTACACATGTAAAATATAAAGGCCCTAGTACCAACCGTTTAAATGTTATGGCCAAGGTTAACGTTTTTTCAAAAGTAGGTCAAACTCCAAGGTCAAGGTCAAAGGGTCATAATTGTTGGTATTTAAAGGAAGTTCTCGTCACAAAGTATACACATGTGAAGTTTGAAAGCCCTAGCATCAACTATTCAGAAGTTATGGCCAACTTTAAAATCTGAAAAAATTTTGCAAAAGTGGGTCAAACTCCAAGGTCAAAGTCAAATTTTATGGTACCCAAAAAAGGTCTTGTCACAAGGAATACACATGTGAAATATGAGAGCAATAGCTTCAACAAATCAAAAGTGATGGGCAAGGTTAAAGTTTTTGCGAACAGACAGACAGACGGACGGACAGGGCAAAAACTATATGCCCCCGAATCTTCGATTACGGGGACATAAAAAACAATGAAGACTAGTAGGGCAGAGGAAATTTGCAGTAGTACGAGATGTCGTAGATGGGAAAACTTGGGCTGTTTTCTTAAATTTATGTTCACCTGCCTCAAAAGCAAATCCGACACTCTTTAGCGATAACGCTTGCCTGGAACGCATAAATTCTTTCTCCATCCTTGCTCCAAAAGCCGTAATTTTGCACAGTGTATAAAATCTAGTACATAAATATATGATCTTACTTTTAGCGTGCCTAATCATCATTTTCTTCCAACCAAATCTACACACAATTTCGATCAACAATTGTTTCCCAATTCTAGCCAAAGGGTCATAATTTGAATTTGAATCTACACAAACATATTAGATTTACATAAAAGATATAGGTCCGAATTGGTACCTTATAACCAATTGTTTAACGTTTGACAATGACTATCCATTTTTCTCAGATTAAGAAAATAAAATAAAGTGCCAATAGATGGCGCCGAGGTCAAGAAGAATCATCCCTTGAGATCAATGAAACCAATGGTGACATCTGTCAATTGCATTAAACGTCAAAAGCGACCTCTAGCGGAACAATCTAATGAGCGCTATAGAGATTAAATTTGTCCTCGTTGAATGCATTAATTTATACAGTTTTCTAAACAACAACATACACAAGTAAATAAGGTATGAAGGAATAAAAAGTTACAAATCGCAAGTTCTGCTATCTAGACCGCGTCTTTTCGCGACCGCGGTGCCATCAGCCTAGCCCCGCCCCGATCACCGAGAGATGAACAGCGCATAATACCCCGGCTGTGATGGCTTTTGACGTCTTTCTAATTGGGGAGATGGTTATTATATCCATATTGTATGTTTGCTGTCTCTCAGGATCAAATTGCCAGCTAAACTTCAAGCAATAAGAAGTCTCCTCGTGAAGAAACCCAAACTTGAGAACGGAGTTGAGGCTCATTTATAAGACTTAAGCGTCACGCAAAACCAAATTACATCCTGGTGGCATACTTATTAATTCGATTTAAGGACTAGTTTGTTTAAAAATTCCTTTTGTTTTATTAGAATTAATCAAAATGATCAAATTGGAGGCTCGACTTCGGCTCGGATTTTCCCTATGAAATTCATGAATGCTTAAGCCGCGTTGACACGAAAACTTTTAGGAAATATAAATAGTATTAGCATGTTCTAGAACAATTTCTAGAGTTCCAGTGATAATAATGTTGCCAACTCATTTTCCGGGACAGGCAAATCTAGCCGGGTTCCATAGCATTGATGCTCTTTTAGGAATTCGAGAGGAAATGCGGGAGAATTACAACGTATGTTCTAACTCCGGAACAAAACATTTGCAGGGAAATGCCCGAGTTCAGCCATCTTCATCTGATACAGGTAAGTATAGATAATTTAATTTATATTAAAATATACATCAAAATTCATGAAAATTAAATTACACTTTAAATAGCAATTAACATAAGCATGTATTGATTGAAACGTTTCCTCTTAATACAGCCAACATACTAGTACCTGCACCACATTGCCGTTAAAGTAAGAAAAAAAGTATAATATTTTCGACTTCAAAGTTTTTCGGGGAAATATACACTAAGTAAAAATTATATATCAAAGTAAAATAAAAATTGACCAGAATTATATATGAAAGCAAAAATAAAATTGATAAGAATTTTACATGAAATTAAAATTAAGGTGAAAGCCGGCTTACTAGTACATGTAATAAAACAAACCTTAATCAGAAAAAATCGAGAAAAAAACTGTGTAGGCATAATAACAAAAATGTTAAAAACGAGTTTCTTGTAGACGAAATGTCATTGAAACTCCTAGACCTTTATCTTTATTATTTTTTTTTATGATTGATAACTTTGAATCTTTACTAATACGATGAAATGACTAAAGTGTACAAGATGCGAACACCTTGTTTCGGAAACAGAATATTAGTATTTCCCTACCGATATAAATTATATCGTGTACCCTTTCTAAAACGTACAAAATTAATTAAAGAGTCAGGAAGACTCCGTGTTTAGATTTAATACTGTACTTGTAAGTTAATGTACAACACTGCTTATATTATATTTTTAGATGATAATTTGCCCATAAATATATGGGGAGAATCAAATAACTTAAGGGAAAATGCCTTCCAAATAGAGATTCCTTTGTATACTTACTTGAAACAAAAAAAAAATGTGTTTCGATGAATTTAGACTAAAACAGTCTCGCAAAAAAATGGTATTTATCAAAAATATTTCTGATATTTTAAATTCATTTTGTGGTTGTTTGTTAACGTTGTGAAATAATAGCCTATAGTAAAACAATACGTAGGCTGATTAGGCAATGATCATTTCAAGAGAATGAGAATTTAAAAAAAAATGTCGTTTATAGTCTAACTAATAACAAATAAGAAAAAAATTGATATTTATTCTAATTTAAAAAAACATATAGAATCAGGGTTGGCAAAAAACTGGGAAATACTCATATTTCCCAGGACGGTGGGAAATACTGGTAATTACCGTGAATTACTGGTATTTCCCGGGAAATACTGGGAAGTAAGAAATAGCTACATATTTCATTCATATTGACATCTTATTGGCTAAGATATCTACCTGGTATCACTGTCCCTGATTTAAAAAAATTTCCAAGTAATTCATTTATATAATTATAAAACGGTATATTCATATACCAGTCATGAGTGTCATTTGTTTGATGCTTTAGTCAGCTATAGTCTATAAAGGTCCAATGAACCCTAAGATCCCAATTGGTTTTTTAAGTAACTAAAAAAGGATCTAAGAAAATTCTTAAATGTAGAGTATGGTAAAAATATCTTTCTTTCTTCATTATTGTTATTTTAAGCTTTTGAGCTTATCAGTCTATACATGTACAATATGATACAAACAGATACAGTACAGAAATGGATAATAATATCAAACCTAAGAAGAAGCCTTTCAATTCTACCCAAGGTAATTATCTCTCAAAACAGGAGCACAAAACTGTCCAGAGCAATTTGTTAAAACAACATGATTGATTGTAATAACTACAGTGTTTATAGAAGGATTAAAATGAGTTTGTTTTGTTCTTGGATTTATAATTAATAAACTTAATAATTTACAAAACTGAAAAGAAACTTGATTTGGAAAACTTCAGTTTCACATAGCCAGGGAAATGTTTCAGAATGCTTATGGGTATGGGACCTGGAGTAGTGATACATTCTGAATATGTTAAATTGCAATTTGAGACATATTCAATATTATTCATCTTCTGTTTTTATGTTAATTTTATTTTTGAATTTTGTATAAGATTGAATGAATTAAAGAAATAAAAATCTTTAACTTTATATTTCCCAGTATTTCCCAGTTTAGACAAAATTTGTAGTATTTCCCGGGACGGGAAATACCGGTATTTACCACTGGTAATTCCCACCACTGGTATTTCCCGGCCAACCCTGTATAGAATAGTGTTTTGTTAAGAGAACGCTATAGTATTTCACTGCAGAATTAATTTCTAATCCATGCTCCTAATATTCAATGTCAAATTATGTACAAAAGTTTTTTAAAATGACCCTAAATGGGTAAAAAAAAAAAAAAAACACTTGATAATTAAATTCTATCGCAATTGTTCATTTTTAATCCCTTAATTTTCCATTAAATTAAAATATTTTTAATGAAGAAAACGACATACTTGTGCTCGATCATTCATCTTTGCAATATTTGCTCAGTAGTTAAATGATTTTTGTCTTAAATTTATTCATGATACGTATGTCTCTACGTTTCAAAAGATCTTTTGAAAATATGTCAATTGACTTATAACTCGTGCACCATCAACTGTACATAGTATTTGCCAAAAACAAATACAACACAAACAAGCAATTTGATAAATAAAATAATGAAACGTCATCAAATACAAAGACAAAAAATACAAAGGGCTACCAAGCACATTCTTCATAATTGAGTCTACTTTAAGTTAACAAAATATTTGGTATTCATTATGAATTTAAACGGAATATTCTCAAGACAGAGAATTAAGATTATGTGCCCTTCAATTAAAAATTCAAATTTCAATTAAATTTTCACTATTCATATTATCAAACTTTACATTGCACATCGTGTAATCCAAGATGAACTCGATAGAAAATGTCAATTAAGGAAGCTATAAGATTCCTCTTTATAAATATATGCCAAAAAGAGGCTCGTCAAACCTAATTAAAGTTTTTATCTTGTTAAACTGAAATCAAAGGCGCATTTGTATCGAAGGTATTAAACTTAAATGACACTACAATTGCATTGAGAAAATATAATTTTTGAAGAGAGAAACGAGACACCAACATAGTAATGCGCTGTCACATCTCAATTCAATAGCAACCTCGTTAGCTGAGCGAGAGAGCGCGGCGCGGCGCAACACGGGCAACAATTTGAGAACTAAAGATGTCGCCAATAAGTTAAAGGAATCCTGGGTGTTAAATGTCGTCTTATTTCCCCATTCTCCTCTAAACTGTCGCCCATTTACAGCTATTGAGCTGTGAAATTTGTATGTGTATTTTGAGGAAAATAAACTTAATTCAATTATAAAATCTCGCCTAATGATATATTTTGAGGCATTTGGTGGCGCGGGCTCCTTTGTGAGTTGTAATTTGAGAGGGGTGTCGAAAAGATAAATGTCAAATTTTATCATTTGTTACCTCGGGTTTATTAAAGATTGTATCAAGCTTTACAACTCATTCGACGTGTCATTTTGGCTCTTCTCTGTCAAAATAGTTCTCTGAAGTTTGCATCGTTGATTTTCAATTTATTTGAGGTGGGTTTAAGCAAATATTTTGCACAAAAGAAAACAAAAATATAAATCACACGCTCAAGCGAATTTATCTATTTCCTAAATGTAATGCAGGGGTAAATGGACCAAAAGCTAGATTGGACTAACTTCTCAAGACATTCAATATTTTTCCCTCGAATTTATTTTTCTTTGATGTACGATGTGCTGATTATAATAAAATTAATTTAGGAAACGAAATGAAGCTACAGAGAAATTTTGATGGAAGAAAATCTGGGAAGATGGAAAGAAATTCGGACCCCCGCAAGAAAACAAGACGAAACCGCACGACTTTTACAACATATCAATTGCATGAGCTGGAAAGAGCATTCGAAAAGTCGCACTATCCGGATGTGTACAGTCGAGAGGAATTGGCCATGAAAATAGATCTCCCGGAAGTCCGAGTACAGGTATGTTTTCATAATTATGTAAATAATATATTTGATATTTTACACCTGAAAACAAATAATGAAATATTAAATTTTAGATATAGTACTCTAAAAAGTTCGGGAAAGACTTTTTGTTTTTGTTCAGGGTTCCTATACCATATTTAGACATCCGATTGTTTTATTCTTTTATTTTATTCTTGACATACTTTTCTCCATCTTCATCCTTTTTCTTCCTTGTGTTCGAAAATAATAACCGATGCCGTAATTCAGTGTTTTGCTTTATGTATCATGTTTATATTTCAAAGTTTGGTGTCTGCTGAATGATAAAAATATCCGAGTCCCATATGTAATTGACTTTAATTTGAAAAAATGGACTGATTGTGAAAGACAAGTTCATTAGCTCGATTCATTACAGTTTATACATCTTGTCAATGGCTATCGTTTGTGACAGAAGGGTCTTTCATGTGACTGGGGGTAACTTCGTTGTTGCTAACAAGGTTTATATGAAAGATATCAATAGAGATGTTAGACCCAAACCATTCTGTTGCAGCTCTTAGCCTCAGTAATTGACTTAGCATGGGATCAACTCACTTTGTACTTTAGAGTCCAATACAGAGGGACAGCTGGCCGTGTGACTGAGTTAATCCGAACTCAGCTATAGGCCGTCCCCACTAACAAGTTAATGGCTCAAAAGTAACCCTCAATTATGCACATGAATAAACCCAGAATCAAGGAAAGAAAGGCGACGAGTGTTTTTAATTGCATCCAAGAGTTTTTCGAGGGGGGATTTTTAAACCAATCTTCTCTCTGTCTGCATAGCTCTAGGGTACGTCACGCGGCGCGCCCCGCCCCCTTCTTGTTCGCCCCTGATTTGATATTGTATCCACTGATTCCAAATCAAACAAAATCGTTTTTAGTGGCGTCTGTAGTATTTGGTGTCTTTGTCCCTCTGTCTTTTAGCGTGTTATTCAATTAACTGGATATTTTTATCAATAACCGAGGGACCTACTTTTACGGAATATGTCGTCAAGTTTTTGACAAATTAAATTGAATATAAAAAGACTTCTTTTGCCATTGAACAACTAAGTCATATAATTTCTAATTTTTTCAATCATTTTATTTTTTTTTATATCAGGTGTGGTTTCAAAATAGACGGGCTAAATGGCGACGTCAGGACAAACTGGAAAATTCGACGCTGAGGATCAATGAAGATTTCACTTCTGGTCTAGTTTCACGAAAATCGTCAGGTGCCTTCGGATCACCTTTACCTCTCGATCCATGGCTTACTCCGTCTATGAAAAACACCGAATCATCCAGCGTGACGTCAGTTGCGCCAGAGAGTTGTTTGACATCATACCCTAATCTGTTTCCCTCTCCATATGCACATTCTAGCAATGGTATAGGTAATTCATACCGAGGATTCCCGGGAGTTTTGGGAGGGTGTCCGAGAATAACAGACTTTGACCCCCGAAATTCTAGCATAGCATGCTTGAGAATGAAGGCAAAAGAACATGTGCACAGTGTTGATAAAAAGTACTGAGATTTGTTATTACATGAGTAATTCTGAAAATGAAATGTGTACATTGTCAAATTCTGTTTCAATATAGAATTCAAATATACCAAAGGGATTTTTTTCCTGTTTGTTCAGAAAAAGGACTTTTTAACAATGGGATCAAATATCAATAAAAATTCTTTTTTGAAAATGAACAAAAATATCGCTGTAGAAGATTTCCTGTCTTTTTCTGTTTTTTTTATTATTGTTTCAAATTCCGTCTTTTCCCCATTTGAAAGGGGAAACGTCAAATTTGATAAACCCTATAAATTTTAGTGACGTGTATTGTGATATGTATTTTTGTAAGTAAAGCATCATTTTATTAATATGTGCAGTTCACTGTAGTTTTAGTTTTTCAAAATGTATGAATTCTTCAATGTACTTTGTAGTTCCCCAGTTTGGTAGCTAGACGTTGATGGTTCTGTTTTTTTTTTTTTTTTATTTCTTCAAAAATATATAAGTTAAGGTGCGTTCAAACTTCATCAGATGGTAAACAATGGCCTGTTAGGTCACCAAGAATTGCAAATAGTAGCAATTGCATGGTTACCATAGTTCACAATCAGTGTACTTTCATTTTTAAATGAGGTAATATTTAACCCCCAAAACCCCCTCCCCAAAAATAAAACTTATAAATATTGATATAAGGAACATTAGGGTGATTCCAATGTTGATTCCTGTCCACGTGAGCAAAATATGACGTTTTTCTTTTTCAACGAAACTTGATATTTGAAGCTTGTATTTTTCAATACCGGTATCTTGGGAGTGTTGTGATAGAACCCCAATGAAAAGCAAAAAAAAAAAAAAAATGTCACATGTTGCTATAAAAATTTAAAATTCATCAATTTATTCATCTAGAGTAAAATTCGGTGAGAAACATGCACTAAATTTGTTTTGGATTTTAAATAGTTCGAAGTAATTATTTTGTCCCAATAAAAGGCCTTTGGGCTACAACGCTCACCGAAGTCACCTTGTTCTCACATGGAAATGAATACATATATTATAACGTTATGCATGTATGCTTTCATTCTCATTAATTAAATTAAATCTTAAATTTCATTTTTATATTAGTTTTCAACCTACATTCAACACATAGAAATAAGAAAAGGAACAAACAACAATATCCATAAAAAACAAACCAGCCAAACAAACAAAATACTAATATGATGTGAAATACCATGGGGCTATTATATGATCAGATTTGACGGACACAACATCAGTTACTTCGATGAATTTTCCCTGGGATCTCATTCTTCTGTCTGACAGTCCGTCTATGTGTCGCAAACTTTAACCTTGGTCATAACTTTTAAAATAAGAGAAGATAAGGCTTTTATATTTCACTTGTTCATTACCTAAGACAAGACCTTTCAGAATGTTCTATGATCGTGATGTTTAGATCATGACTTTGAAGTTTGGCGTACTTTTTTATAGCCGTAGCTTTTGCAGCTGGAGAGACAGGGCTTTATATTTCACCTATGCATTATCTGTGGTAAGTCCTTTCCGAATGTTCTATTGTTCTTTTTCACATGACCTTGAACTTGAAGTTTGATTACTTTCCAAAAAATTAACTTTGGTCTAACTTTTGCACCAGACGAGACCAGGCTTTCTTTTTCCGAATCCGAATGTGCATTACCTGTAATTAACCCTTACCGAATGTACTAATCTATGAATTTTGACCTCATGCCCTTGACCTCGAAGTCACTCGACTTTCAAAAACTGTAACCTTGACCATAACTTCTGCATCAGAACATACGGCTTCAAAAATATAGATTTTTTATTAATATGATGGACAGACAAGACAGTTGCAATTTATAATTGATCATTGCACCTGAGCAATTGAGACCAGGTGAGCGAGGGACCAAAATTCTTCTCACTGCCATGAAGAGGTGCAATTTCAACGATTTTATCTGTAATCTACATGATATTTCTCAAAGGGTCATTATATATGAAATTTGAATCTGCAAAACGATTTTTGTAAATTTGGTGAATTCTCAGAAAGAATTATTTTGAAAAAAAAATATCCCCTGCATTTTTCAGTGTAAATATTTAATAGTTTTTGTTAACATGGGAATGAACTTGAGTTCATACGAATATTAAAAGAATCATACCAGAATTCTAGTGACAGAAGAGTGTTTTGTTAATCCAAAATCATTCTTAACATGGTTGTTTTAACGTTCTACATCATTCTATAGAACAGAACTCGGATTACGAGTTGAGCCCGATACCTTTCTTTCAACCAAAGATCCATGTAAATTACGCTGAATTGTTGCATACTATGGTTTTGCATGATAAATAACTAAATGTCTTGATATGATGTTTATTAAGAAGGTTATTTTATTAAGAGGGTTATGAACATTCAACCTGGACATCGTCGGAAAAGAGTTATCTCGCTTGCTTTAAAAATCTAAAAAATAAAATCAAGCACTGCATTCGGATATCAGTTTTGAAAATGTTTGCCTTAAAGACGACGTACAGTCAGCATTGATTAAAAAAAAAACATACAGAAGGCAGTTCCTCTCCCTATTCCACAACATAATACATTGCGCCTTTAAAAGTCGTTAGATTCAAATATATTAATTATAGTTATCACTTCACAATTCAATCGCAACTTCTTTCTCTTCTCGTTCACGAGTATGTTCATGCTTTGCATGCCATACCGGAGGGGGAGGGAGGGGCGGGGCAGGTGTAGGGTCGATAGCAATATACCCTCTTCTCCTCTCTCTCTCAGTTATGTGTATTATTCTACTTTTGAAATTCTAAAAATTGATTCAGTTTATTAATATCCCGAATACAAATATACTTTATACCGCACAAAAGTATTATAACAGCTTTACCAAACCTTCAGTGATTTTATTTAAGACAAATTCCATAGCAGTGAAATTAAAATGCGGTTGAGCGAGGGAAGTTTTATAGAAGCAGCTTAATATTGCCGTTAAAAACGTTGTTTAAATCTCTTCCACAATATGCTTATATATATTTAAATTTTCCACACAGCACTTAATTACATACATCAGTATATTTACCTCTCACACAGTATACACCTTACGAGCTTTTAAATGGCAAAAGTAGATTTAAAACGACCTTGCAAACGAAATAAAGAATTGAGCTAACAATTTCATATTTATCTTAATTCATAAGACACATTGTTACAATTTTTTAGCCCGTTTTGTCGCGGGGACAATGTAAAATTTGTGTGTTATCAGAAGTTAGCCTTAGTAGTGTATTGCGATAAGATCCACCTGTCCCGTAGTCTCGAGGACTTCCGTACATCGGTTGCTAAGACGCTTTTTAAATGGCGAGTATCGTTCGTACAGGTATATAGGAGATTGAACACAAGATAGGGTATTGACCAGCCAGCATGGTAGATATCAACGAATTCTTCTGACTATTGTAATGACAGATTCCAATCTACACCTGAAAAGTGCAGCCAAGCCGTGTGTGTGTGTGAATTACATGTTTTATCAACAAGGTGAAGGGTGTTTGAATGATTAATTACATGGAAGACAAGGTGTGTTTTTCTGACCATGTCTGAGATTGGGGAGCAGGCTGGAGACGGCCTAGCCCGTCCCTATACCGTGGGGACGTTTCAGACCCGCCTAGATAAGTTTGAGAGTTTTATAAAGGACATAACATACCAAGATGTCGAGGCTACTCCAGAAGAAAGGAGGCAATGGATTACAGGTAGATACCCGGAAAACTGATTGATTTTCCCTCTCATTAAAGCCGTTTATTACGAGATCCTTTGTTAAAGTTGCATATGGAAATCAATATATTGCGGCAAAAGTTTATGACATTTTGTTTGACTAAACAATTACGGCTTCATTCATAAATTCACTCTCTACAAACTTACATAATGTAAACTATGCTAGCTGCAGTCATTGTTCCTAAGTGAATTAAAATGGGAGTGGGGTGGGTGGGGGTTGAAATTAATATGTTCAGCATTTGAGAAAGCATTTATTTATCTAAATAGTGATCACTGTTTTTTTCCGCTTCTTTTAAAGGGCAGTAAACTTTGATTAAATACACCACTATTGACCCCTTCTACTTGAGTATGACTGTTCGCTAGATCAATTTTGCTTATATCATTCGGACTAATCCTTAAAATCTCGCTCTATAGTACTGGGTAAACACTTCACTTTAATAAGATAAACTACCAAACCGAGGTACCAGGTCTAGGAGGTCTACTATATAAATATGGGGAAGTTGACCATTCTAGGTCTCGTTTGTGACGAAGCTTAAAAGTACATCAAATTTTGTTTCAGTTAAAATAAAATAAAATCATTTAAAATGTGTCATGGGATAATTTTCGTATATAGATGCAAGAAAAATGTACAGGTTCCAGTTTTAGATTAAATTGATAAATAATATCTATAAACAGTGTAATTTTAAGTGTTTTGAATATATCGAAAGTTCATCTGAGATAAAACTTAAAAAATTCTGAGATTTTAATACTGCGACAACGATAATTTTAGGGGTTGAAAGGATACTTTTCGTGAATAATGATGAAAAGAAAATTTTACTGGTATATGGGGAAATCGTTTTATTCATGCAAAGGGTCAATGCATTGTGGAGTGGATTTGGAAACTGTTATTCTTGGACATTGGCTTACACCACACGGGTGTTGTTAATTAATATTCAGTCCGCTCTGAGTGGTGTTGGATCAAAATTCAATTTGTGAACATGTTAAACGTTCTAAAAATTTACAGGAACTTGAAAAGCACAGTCCACCGCGTCATGTTAGCGAAAAATGTTTCATCTTCCGGACGTTGTTGGATTAAGACAAAATGGGAGAAGGGTGTAAATAAATAAAATCACATCTTTGGACAGAAACGATAGATAGATAAATAAATGATAAAATCGATTAATTAATTGAGGCCCCCGGGGGGGGGGGGAATCGATGCAATTTCAGTTTTATTCAATATGGTAGAGGAGTCTCTCTCTCTCTCTCTCTCTCTCTCTCTCTCTCTCTCTCTCTCCGAAGGCCTGTTAAATGAGGGAGGGCACTCCTGCACTCTTTTGGATCACGCAATGATCTTAATGCACTTTAACTGAAGAATGCATATATATCTAATTTTAATCAATCTATCCTTTCTAATAAGATTTGGATATTCATTGCTCCTCTTTGATTTTTTTTTCAGAGAGTTTACGGTTTGACCAATTTTGTGATTCCATAAGGAATCTTTTTGGATCGGACATAAAGAATGCGGATTTAAAAGCAATATACAGAAAAATATCCACCAACCCGGATGCAAAAGTGGACTGGAGCGAGGTAAGTCTGTGTGTAAATTTATCTCATACACGACAGACCTCTATGATGTCATATCCCAAGTTAATCAAAAATTCATTTTCTTTGATTTTATGTGTATTTTTTCTCCTTTTTTTCTTTTTAATTGTTTGTATATTTTTTTAATGTAATAAAATGGTTGCTTCTTTTTTGTCTTCTTTCTATTTCCTTATTTAAAGAGAAAGGAAATTTTCCATATTATTTGATAGGAATTTTACCTCATTTAGTTGAATAATTCTTATTTCAGCTGTTTGAATGTTTTTCTCCTGTTAGTCTTTTGGATATATATTTTCCATTTCAGTTGTAAGGATATCTTTTCGACTTAAATCGCTTGGATATATTTTTTAAAAACTTTTTTGTTTAGATATTTTTTTATTTATAGTCGGTTGGATATTTATAATTCAGTTAGTAAGCTATTTTATTTCAGTTCTCGGGGTTTTGTTTGGATATTTCTATTGTAGTTTTTTTCTATTTTAGTCGGTTGGATATTTTTTAATTTAGTCAGTAAGTATCTCTGGTTGTTTTCCAGTTATTCGGGTATTTCCAATCAGCCACTGAGGAACACGAGGAGGTAGCTGTTGGGGAGGAAGTCAGCATCTTCACCGTCTCTAAGCGACGACGTGTGGGAGAGGCGGCAGGTGCGTGAAGCCAGTAACCGAATACCCCCCCCCCCCTTACCAAATTACAACATTTTATTTGCAACTGGTTTCTGTATTTTATTTTATCAGGATTAAAATTTAGGAAGCAACCTATATAAGATTTTAAAAAGTACTATAATTAGGATCTCTCTTGGGCTTTTATATAAAATTCTGCCATTTCTTACCTTCGACAGGTGATAAAACTCGTCGTGACACCGTGCAGTGTTTGCGCTATGTCCCTTCATTGGACGGATACGTTTCAGCATCACAGAAAGGAGCCATTGTCATTTGGAATAGCTCTGTGAGTAATCCGGAAACTCAATCGCAACTAATCGGGCCTTTCCGACAAGCGGAAAAACAACCTCGAGGTTTCCGAGCTCTGTCCGAAAGGCCGGAGAAGATGCGATTGCCGGAAATTTAGGATAAGGTTTTTTAGCTCACCTCGACGAAGTCGAGATGAGCTTATGCTATACCCCCGGCGTCGGCGTCGGCGTCGGTGTCGGCGTCGGCGTTAGCGTCGGCGTCCCAGGTTAAAGTTTTAGGAGCAAGTCCCATTCCCAAGTAACTATAAGCCCTACCTGGACCAAACTTGCATGGATGATGCATCTAGGGATGAACACTACCACACTTGCTTCGGATGCTGGATCTGACCTAGATTTTCCAGATGAGTGACCAAGTTAAAGTTTTAGGAGCAGGTCCATTCCCAAGTAACTATAAGCCCTACCTGGACCAAACTTGCATGGATGATGCATCTAGGGATGGACACTACCACACTTGTTTCGGATGCTGGATCTGACCTAGATTTTCCAGATGAATGACCAGGTTAAAGTTTAGGAGCAAGTCCATTCCCAAGTAACTATAAGCCCTACCTGGACCAAACTTGCATGGATGATGCATCTAGGGATGGACATTACCACACTTGCTTCGGATGCTGGATCTGACCTAGATTTTCCAGATGAGTGACCAGGTTAAAGTTTTAGGAGCAAGTCCATTCCCAAGTAACTATCAGCCCTACCTGGACCAAACTTGCATGGATGATGCATCTAGGGATGGACACTACCACACTTGCTTCGGATGCTGGATCTGACCTAGATTTTCCAGATGAGTGACCAGGTTAAAGTTTTAGGAGCAGGTCCATTCCCAAGTAACTATAAGCCCTACCTGGACTAAACTTGCATGGATGATGCATCTAGGGATGGACACTACCACACTTGCTTCGGATGCTGGATCTGACCTAGATTTTCCAGATGAGTGACCAGGTTAAAGTTTTAGGAGCAGGTCCATTCCCAAGTAACTATAAGCCCTACCTGGACCAAACTTGCATGGATGATGCATCTAGGGATGGACACTACCACACTTGCTTCGGATGCTGGATCTAGTGTAGATTTTCCGGATGAGTGACCAGGTTAAAGTTTTAGGAGCAAGTCCATTCCCAAGTAACTATAAGCCCTACCTGGACCAAACTTGCATGGATGATGCATCTAGGGATGGACACTACCACACTTGCTTCGGATGCTGGATCTGACCTAGATTTTCCAGATGAGTGACCAGGTTAAAGTTTTAGGAGCAAGTCCATTCCCAAGTAACTATAAGCCCTACCTTGACCAAACTTGCATGGATGATGCATCTAGGGATGGACATGGCCACACTTAGTTCGGATGCTGGATCTGATGTAGATTTTCCAGATGTGTACCAAGTTAAAGTTTTAGGAGCAGGTCCATTCCCAAGTAACTGTAAGCCCTACCTGGACCAAACTTGCATGGATGATGCATCTAGGGATGGACACTACCACACTTGCTTCGGAAGCTGGATCTGACCTAGATTTTCCACATGTGAGACCAGGTTTAGATTTAGGAGTAGTCTCGTTCCCAAGTAACTATAAGCCCTACCTGGACCAAACTTGCATGGATGATGCATCTAGGGATGTACACTAACCAACCTGCTTCGAATGCTGGGTCTGACCTAGATTTTCCACATGAGTGAATTTTAGCCATATTTTAACCAAATTAGCATGGATGATGTATCTAGGGATGGATACTTCCAGACTTGCCTTGGATTCTGAATCTGACGTACATTTTCCAGATGAGTGACCAGGGTAATTTTTTGGAGTAGCTATATAATATTATGGCCTGTTATGATTAAACTTGCATAGATGGTGCATCTAAGGATGAAAACTTCCAGACTTGCTTTGGATGTTGGAACTGACCAAAATTTTCTTGATTACTAAACAGGTCAAAAGTTTTTTGAGCAGATCTATAATTAAATCAAACTTGCATGGATATTGATCTTGGGATGTACCCTAACTAGAAAAAAATATGATGTGAAATTTGCCTTACATGTAGATAACATTCGTCGAGGTGAGCTTCGTAATCTTTGATTACCTATGTTTTTATTAGTTACCATTCGGCATTTCCTACTTGATTTAGCTTGCAGAAGACAGTTCGTTTATTTTTCAATCAACTGTAATTTTCATTAAATGAAGACAACATGTTATATTTTCATATTTTGTATTACAGTTACGAATGCAGGCATGCATTGATATTAACGTGAGTACAGAAAAAAAAACTATTATGAAATTTGTTTCAGAGGGCTTTCATTTTGAAAAAAAATATTTTGTAGAGTAAAAAAAAATGTATATCCCATTTAGAAGAAACATAAAATATTAGGGAAGTTTATACATGTACCCTTGTTATTAATGAATCCTACTTTGTATTTGAACAGGAGGCTGCCTGGGTTACAGGGTGTGACTATCTGCCGAATATACGCAGAGCAGTGTGTTGTACAGAGAGAAGTATAGTGGTTTGGGATCATAGAGCCAAGGGAAAAAATCAAGTATGATTCATTTCTACTACGTACATTAGTCAACTCTAATACAGTCACTGTATCACAGCGTAAATGAATAAAAAATTGAGTACTATGCTTAAGTCTTTCATTTACATTAAATAGCTATGATAATATTTCTTTGCATTTTTAAAAGCACTTTTCCGATGGCATTCATCTTTTTTTTACTTTACAGCATGTGTTCTCAATCAAGCCTTTTGAGAACTCCCCTCAGTGTATCTGCCAGGTCCCCACTTCCTCCCATCTCCATGAGGATATGGTGCTGTTTGGAGATGATCAAGGTTATATCAATGTTCTGCGGATACTTAGCAAAGACTTGACAACAAAGAACTCAAAAGATGCAGAAAAAATTCAGAATACTCAACCAATTCCTAACTACCCAATTGAGCTTGATAAATTGTCATAGTAAGTGAGCTTAATGTGAAATAGCTTTAGGGCAAATCATTGAACATGGTTTAAGAAACAGTAGAATATACTGTAAATGTATTATATTTAGCGGGTGTGATATTTGGCGTATATTGATTTTTTAACAAATTAGCGCAGATTTGATTTTGCGCATGTTCTTAATTTTCTTATTTATGCGTATATGTGCAAGACATTTAGCGTTGTACTTGAATTCGGGTAGCAGAAGTTGCTTTCCGCCAAAGGCACCAAAAAGAATTCACAGCTAAATGTAATACATTTACAGTACATGTAGCTTACAAACATGGGGAGGGGGTGGTTTACCTTTAAAAAAATACAAGTACTTTGATGATCATGATAATAGATTTTTTTTAAATGATGAAAATATAAAAAAAGCTTGATTAAACCTTCAGTAAAATAGAGAAGAGGAAAATCCACCATGATTGGGTGCTAAAGGTGAAGTATTTTCCTGAACTGAGGTGTTTTGCCTCCTGTTCACCTCACAGCAAGCAGTCATTTGTGCTAGAGGAAATAGATCGCCTATATGATGATGGGTAAGAAACTAATCTCTGCAGTTTACATTGAGAAAAAATATGGGTTTTTTTTTTTTAATTTTTTATTACATGTTGTAAGTGAATTTGACATATAATGAATGGTCTCTTACAGAGAGGTACGGGGTGTGTCCATATATAAAGGGGTGAATTGTTTTGATTACTGTGCCAAAGCCAACATAATTGCCACCGGGGGCGTGGACAAGGTCATCAGGGTGTGGCACCCTCACATCTTTTCTCGGCCCACAGGTAAAGACAAGATAGCATCAGAATGTGACATTTTAGTTTTTTGTATATCCATAATGTAAAATGTGAGACACTCTTTCAGATTTGTAAACATTATAATATCTGACCATTGACTTTATTTTTTTCTTTTTTATCTATATAAGTTCAAAAGCAAACTTTTCTATATGAAAATGTTTTAATGCAGGAAAACTGATGGGCCACTTGTTTACAATTGTTGACATTTGTTGTAATGAGAAAGACCAACACCTGATCAGTTTGTCAACAGCCCGTGTGTTCAGAGTATGGGACATCCATACCTTGACCTGCTTGCAGGTAAATTAAAAATTTTATGATTGAAATTATTTCAAAGAAAATTTATATAAAATCGGAACGTTGGTGTGTTATATTTTGCTTTGTTAGAGATTTGACCTTTTATAACAGATGTATCGATAAATTAATTTGCCATTATTTACAGGTTTTCACAGACAATGAAGAGAGACCTGGTGAAAAGAGAATCTATTCTATGATATTTGACACAAAACATGACAGACTCTTAACAGGTAAAAATTTAATTTGACTTTTGTACTCATAATCTGAAATGACTGTTAAGAAGAGAGGAATAATTGTACAATGTTTATTGTCTATTTTAGGATCTAGTGTGATAGATTCATGGCCTTTGACTAGAGCAGTCCAAGACACAATGCAAGTTCCCCACACACATGACCGCCCCATTAGTCAGGTCATACTGAATAAAGAACTCAACCAGGTCATCACAATGTGTACAGAATCTCATATCAAGGTAAGATTTAAGAGACCATGTCAGCATTTATTCATAATTGACATTGTTAATATAGGCAATCTCTTTTTTCTTTAGATCTGGGAGCTAGAGACAGGAAAAAGAGTAGGAACGATCAACAATGCCCATGATGACAATGTGGAAGTGACAGCCATCTGTCTGGACAAGTCTGGCTACAGGATGGCTACCGGCGGGTTTGATGGTGAGATGTTGTATACGTGATGAACTGGTTAAAGTGACTGGTCATTTTGGAGAATAATTAAATGAAATAACTGAAGATACATGAACTTAATATATATGTACATCATATAAACTGCATATACATGTACATACTACATCTACATACCCTGTATGTATACATTGTGTATGATTAAACAGTATATATATACCGTAAGTTTTGGGGTATATGTCGATGGGGTGTATAGGTTGAAAGGCTCATTTTCAGCCGTAATTTTTAAAAAATCCTTAGATAGTACAAATTTGGAAGATAGGACGAGGCTTTGTTTATCGATTTCTAGAGATTCTTACGTGGATACTACATATCAGAACATGTAACCCTCTTTAACTTAACCTGTGATATTAACGTATTGAGAAAATAAACTGGTATTTTTATGAGTACAGTATTTTAATAGTGTTTTATACAAACGTAGTTAAAACTTCCTTGAATTGTGATATAACGTATTTTCTCCAACTTACATGTTCAATGCCGTCGTAGTTTGACTCTGTCATTAAACACATAAGGCCAAATAAAAAAATATGTGTGGTTCCGGTTACCCGACCTTCCCTATTTTATACCCCCGACCCTACACTTTTTTTGGCAATTTTCAAATTTTTTCCGGAATTTCCCCCAATTTCCATCAATGGCTCCAGTTTAAGTTTTAGTTTCAGCAATGACGGCCTCCTTGCAAAACATAGTGCAAGTGTTTAATAGTGTTAAATCCAAAGCAAGCTAGCATGTAGGTGTCCCCTACCAATATTGACTAGTATATTATCACACCACATCTAAATGCTATTTGCAAAGCAGTGATCAGGTGATAGGTATTATTTAGGAAAAATTAAGAAAATCATTTTGTTAAAAAAAAAAAAAAAAAAAAAAATCCCTACCTACCTACCCTAATTTTTTTGGAAGCGTAACCGGAACCACACATATTTTTTTGTTTGGCCTAAATACGGTAGTATAAAACAGCTATAATTAGGGAAATACCCGAAATCAAACAATAATCATTTCCATTTTAGAACATCGTTGACATATTCTTTTGTAAAACAAAAACAAAAAAAACTGTGAATAAAAAAATAATGTATCGTGAATAAATGAATTTATAACTTCCAAAAACGTATAATAGTATATTCAAGATAAGTTCGTTTTATTATAATTAATTAAGATATAAAACAAAATAGTTATTACTAGCGGTATATTTGGTAAATAAATTTAGGAATTTACTGGCAACAATTTACTTCACGCATTTTACATTTAAATAAATATCACAAGACAATGAACAAATATTTAGGCATACTATTTCAATTAATCGTTACAAATAAATGGTTAAAAAAAGATTACAATTGCGATTGTGAAAACTCTTCCGTATTTTAAATTTTTATACGGCTGCGGTTTTCTTTTTAGTAAACGACTGTGACTTCCAACTTCACAAGATGGACACAGCATGTTGTAAATATACTTTGAGACATTAATTACTAGATGATATACCGGTAATAAGTTTTTTTTGGTACATCGACGGATATTTAATGGAACTTATTTTGTAAGAAATCAGTGGAATAAATATTTAATTCTTTATTGTTTATTATTTTTTTCTCGGTAAAATAATTTTAAAAAATACGAAAATGGCACAGATTTGCTTTAAAATTGACGTAAATTTTACTGATTTGGAGGCTTTTTTCGTAAACTTGAGCCTTAGATAGGTAGATTCGTTAAATAGGATGACCCCAGCGGTTCTGAGAAAAAAAGTATTGTCTTATCTTCCAAAACTTACGGTACTTGTACTTGATATTTAATAGCTTAAGATACCTAATACAAGTTGAATGTTTACTGCATACATGTATACGTGATTTGTACATTTGATGGCTTACAGGATCTATCAAGGTGTGGGATTTTGGGTCGGGTCAGGTGATTAAGAAGAAATCAGGTCGACATTCGGATGAGGATCTTAGCATCGTGGGAATGGCCTATACATACTTTCAGGGGGACCGTGTTTTACTGGCTGTGGGATGGAACAATAAAATTAGGATGCTTTTGGTAATTACATGTGAAACTATCAGCTTCATTTGTACATATTTTGCAAAAACTACCTTGTGTGCATAGTCATAGACAGTACTTGATCTCTAAAAACAATAAAAAAAACCCAAATTTGCATATTTTGTATTTTTTGTATCAAATAATCAAATTTTGGTTTGTAATGTCAATGTAAAAACATTATTTTCTAATTATTTACATTCAATCACATGTAAATCTACTGTAAATATATTTCCACCCTGCAGGATACTAATGAGAATTATGACTTGCCGGTGGTCAGGGAGTTTTTGGATGTATATTACTACACAGCAGAGTCCGGCATCACTCCCAGGGATGACCTGTTCCCTCCCACTGACCCTTTACCAGATATAGGTCAAACTACACAGGAATCATTAGGGTCAAGGAAATCCTCACATGTAGGATCCATGTTTAAAAAGGTACTTTGCCTTGGATATAAATATCCTTATTTTCCAACAGCCAGTTTCTCGTACATGTAACTCTTACCTGTATTCCAAATATGAAAAGGGATGTTATATTACTTACTCTTGTTTTATACATGTTTGTTTGTTTTCTCAAAAATCTGTGAGGATTTTACACTCTAGGGAATGAGATATTTGTAGAAATATTTCTCAGAAAAGTGAAATCTGTCTTTTATAGGACTACATTTTGAGTTCCCATGATATCTCCTGCTTTATGATGTACACAGACAGCACTCTGATCACAGGTTGTACCAACGGTACGATTGTGTTCTGGGACATACAGAAGGGAGAAGTGGATAAAGTGTAAGTGTACTTAAAAATAGTTTTAGGTCCTTCAGTCTCAGATATTTGTCTTTTATATGAGATCTTCAGTTTAATTTGAATGTTTGATGACAGTATTAAGTGAGATATCAAGTGTACATTGTTTACTAGTATACAAGTTAATTTGATTTTTCTTTTTTAAAATATATGTAGAATAAAGTTTATGTATGTTATCCATGCAGGATAAACATGATAGAGATATCTTGTAATAGTATTACATGTATTATCAGCAGCTATTTAAATTCCCATCCACTCACCTTTTTTTTTTTTACAATTCAGCATATTGCTTGTCAGTTACCTTTAATTAGGGAATGGTTATGACTATCACTCCCAGATGCCTCTACAGAAAAACAGATTTGTCAAGTGTACTTTTTACTATACTGCAGATTCCATTTCCCTAAAGATGATGAAGAAGATGAATCATCTACCAACAAGTCCCGCTCTAGGATGGGTAACGAACGCAGAGTCAACATGATTAAAATCATGGTACATCGTGAAAGGAAGCTCGACCCAGCTTATGTCAAGTGAGTTGCTTATTGTATAGCCAAGCTTGTGAAAAACAGTCAAACTGCAGAAAAAAGAAAACTGTTTAATATTAATGTGAAGTTTCATGTTTGAGGAAAATGTGCTGCCAGTGAAAGTCAGATACATGAGGATGGAACATCTGATGCTGAATTGATTTTCTTTTAGTGATTTAATACATTGATCATTTAGTGAGGGGAGATCATTTTGTTGTAAAATTACAGGAAGAAGGAGGAGGAAGAGAAAGAGCTGGAGAAAGAAGAGGATCAAGTAGTGTTATCTCAAAAAACGAGTCGCCGAGTATCTCGAGCCAATTCTAGAGCCTCAAGGCTCTCCACAGCTCCAGCTCCTGTACAGGTAGTCTTATTTACTTCTTTGTCTTTTTCTTAACTAATATAAATTTCATTTGAAAAAGAATATGAAAAAATTGGACATGTTAATCTAATGGAATGTAAGCAATCAACATATGTGTTAAAAAATTGTAATTTGTTTTACAGAAGGGTTATCTTTTACTGTTAGAAGTAACTCTAAAATTATTTAGTCAAAATTTATTTTTTGTAATTTTTTTGGAATAATTGTCTCAAAATTTGCCATGTACATGCATGGTATACATGTTTCAAATTAGTTCAAATTTCACTTTAATCTATCTGATGTTCAAAAATTGTCATATTAACGGAAAAAAAATCAAATTTAGTGAGTAGGTGGAGCATCATTCTGCCTTCATAGAGACATATTTTGGATTTCTTTAAGGTTGACACTCAGAAACAAAAGGCTCTGTTAGATGAAATCACAGCCAAAGTGGAAGGTGTGGAACTAGAGAAAACAGAGGATTTAACAAGTGAAAAACTAGAAGGTAACCAAAAACACAATGAAACAAGATGTGTTTGTGAAACACTATGCCCCCGATGGTAACAATTCTGGAGTGGGACGTAGACTAAAGTGCAATAGTTATGGCCAATGTTAAAGTTTTTCAAATGTAGGTCAAAGGTCACAGTTGAGGTCACATGATCAAAAATTTCTGTACCAATGGAAAGGTCTTGTCATAATGAACACTCATGTCAAATATTAAAGCCTTACCCTTGACAGCACAATAGTTATGGGCTAGGTTAAATTTGACAACAGACAGACAGACAGGACAAAAACAATATACCCCCGGGATCTTTCTGTACCAAAATTTCTGTACCAATGGAAAGGTCTTGTCATAATGAACACTCATGTCAAATATTAAAGCCTTACCCTTGACAGCAATATAGTTATGGGCTAGGTTAAAGTTGACAACAGACAGACACACAGGACAAAAATAATATACCCCCGGAATCTTTCGATCCGGGGGCATAAAAAACATACCATTTACAGTATTCACATGTTACTGTTTATAGATCATAAAAGCTGTCATTATACAGAAATCACTGTTTTATGTGCAGAGGAAATAAAGAATGATGATGGTGAGGAGAAAAAAGATGAGGACAAATCTGAGGATGGACTGACAAAGGGCGAGTCTGATGAGGAGGATACAGAGGATGAGGAGAATAAGTACATTACAGAGGTCTACGCTCCTATCCTTGTGTCAGTACATCAGGACTCCTACATTAGATTCTGGACAATGGAAGTAGGTTGTATTAATTTTCCTGATAGGGAAAGAGAGGGATATGCCTGTATCACAATACATTTATAAGTACCTATTTTATCTCAGCTATTCAAGTATTCATCCATATGAACTCTATGTGATGGATTTCTGTAAAAATTTACCCTAAAATTTGGTGACAGTTAAACACCTTTATATTGAAAACAGGTATGACAAGGTCATGCCTGTTATAAAATCACATTTCAGGTAGTTCAAAAAGAAACCTAATTGGATGTAAAAAAAAAAAAAAAACAAAACTACTGTATACAGGGTTATTTTCGCCCTTTCACACTTGCAAACAATATTACCCCATTTTAAATTCGCCCAGTCACAATTCTGTTTAGCAAATTATACTGTTTTTTGAATATTCGCCCCTTTTAAATTCACCCACCTGTGTGTAGGGTGAATATTGGGCGAAAATAAAATGGGGGCGAAAATTTCAATGTATACAGTATGGATACATAGCCATTTTAGCTGTCCCTCAGTTGGTGATTTACATTTATTCATTGTTTAACTGTTTATAGTAGGGATAACATATGTTGTCGGAGAATTGAAGACAGAGTTTTGTAAGAAACAATCAGGCCAAGCATGAGATAACCAATGTTCAACATGTATTGGAATTTGATACATACTCTTGTATTTTTCAGGGGCAGTTACTGAGAGAGGTATCAGCAGTTACTCGTAGAACAGGAACCCCAGTCACCAGTATCGCACATGATGAGAATTGTAACTGTATGATTACAGGGGATATCAGTTAGTATTACATCGAGTTGTTACAAGTATTACATATGTAATTGGTACAATTCTTATCACATGTATTACATGTGATGTAAAACATAATTTGTATGGTAAAAATATAGAATGACATATTTAACAATTATTTAAAATTTATACCATCAGATGACTCTCCTGCATTACACATGATAATGTGACAGCATAATTCAATCTTTAAAGATGATATATATGACTATTGTAATGTTTTAAAGATTATAATCCTTTTTACTTTTTCCCCCCTACTCTAGAGGGATATCTTACATTATGGAGCATTAATAAACTGTTGAAGAACCCTGAGTCTGCTGAGCAGGTGTGTAAATTTAAGCATATCAGATATTAATTGTGCAAATATTGGGTTTGTTACTGACTGTCTACAGAAATATATCGGGTTGTTCAATCTCTTAGATGGCAAGAAAATGTAATCAAGAAAATTTTCAAGTTGAAATCCCATAAATGTTTACTAAATTTATTTGTTAAAAGTTCTGTAACCATCCGTATTGCTGGTACTTGACCTTTATTAATGCTTTTTTTTTTTAGAATGCAGTAAAACAGCTGATTTGTTGGCGAGCTCACCTGGTCAAGATTGTGTCCCTCATGTACATAGACAAACTCAAGGCAATATTTTCTGGCTCTACAGATGGTTCAGTAAGGTTAGCACACAGGAGTCACATCTTTTACTTTTTCATTCTATTCTTAAATCCCAGCATCTCAAACTGTTCACTTTTTGTAACAGTCATATTATTTCATGTCTCCTACAATGCTTTTTAAGTAACTAGAGTTCTGCAAGATGGTTTTGATTTTTATTATTGTGTAATTTTCAGTTCATATTTTTATTTACAGGGTTTGGTGGGGTCACAAAGGTCGTTTTATAGGCTTTTTCAGTCAGCATAGACCTTTTGTGTTTCCAAGGAATGAAGAGTCAGCAGGGCCTGCAACTCTTCCTTATGATATTACAGAGGTAGGCATATTTTTTTCTGATGATGTATTTTCCACCAAATACTAAAATATTGAATTGAATTTCAATAATGTTTTTCTTTCAGGCTCCTCTTGCCCCAGTCAAAGTAAAAAGTGCCAAACAAAAAATAAGAACCAAGGACAATATAAAGTTTCCACTTGTAGTTGACTATGAAAGGTATTTTTTCTGATAAAGTAAATGTGTAAATACCTGCAAATAGGACTGAGTGTTTACATGACTTTGTATCAACACAATTTTTAAAAAATGTTGCAGGTGGCAGCCTTTTAGACGTTCAGCATACAATCGCGAAAAACAGACAACAGGTCGGAAGAATTTTAAACGCATTCCTCAGCCTGAAGATAGGAAATTCTTTGGAGCTCTTATTAAGCCCAAAGTGAGTCATTATGTTTATGGTAAATTTTCTCTGAAGAAAAAAAATTTTGCTTTCCTCATACAAAATAACCAAAGTTTTTTTTATATGTAAATGGTAGTATAGCTGTGTTGCATACACAAGTGTATTGTATGTCAACTTGTTTTTTGTTTAATGTTTATCTGTATATGCAATCAGTAAAACTAATTAATGCTTTCAAAGAACCTCCTACCCACTAATTCACAGTCATCCTATAGCAAGCTGTTTTATGTTTATCTGTATATATGTGAGAAGTAAAATTTATGCATTTAAAGTATGTACATACCCCCACCCCACTAATTCACAAAGTCATTCTAGCACTGTGATATTTCAGAGAAGGTTCAGACAACTTCAATCCCTGAAAAGAAACCGGGTAAAAAATGTCTGCTCTGACTAAAGGTCACTGCAAAGATGGCATTCAAACTCAGACCTGAAGTTATCCATCATATATATTTTTCTTTTTTCATGTAGAACAATAATTATAAATTTATTTTATATTTACTTAAATACAAGTAACCAATTGATAATATTTTATTTGCCTGTTGAATTGTTAATGCATATAGAATTTGATTTCAGGATTATTTAAAGAAGGTTTTATCCCATACTAATAAAATGGTAAATACGTAGATACAAAAGTAGAAAGTAATTGCTAGTGGTAATTGGGAAGTTGTGTAGTTGCACTGTTGTGACACTGTAACACATTTAGGCCACCAGTGAATCATGTGCTAATGTCAAAGGTCAAGGACTTTGCAATTTTAGTGTTCATTATAAAACAGAAACTGAATATTATTTTGCTATAAAGCAGCTTAATACAAGTAGATATGTTGCTCTAGTATGAAAGTTACCTGTACTTTTTGACTAAACTAAATTTTAAGGTCACCTGAGTCACTCAGGTGACCTATTACTATTTTTTGTCTGTCATGCAATGTGCAATGTCAGTCATCCTTTAACATTTGAACATTTTAAGCTTCTTCTCTGGAACCACTGAATCAATTTCAACCAATTTTGGTGTATAGAATGTATCGGTTAAGGGTAATAACAGTTTAAAATTTCATGGTCCCTGCCCTCCTGTACCCTGAAGGGTGGGGCCAAAATCATAAAATTAGTGCAATCTTCAAAAATCTTCTAAACTCTTGTATGTCAAGCAGTTAAACTGTTATTTGGCATGATTGTAATGAGCGTTTAGCCCTCTACATGTACCAAAAAAGTGAAATTCATGGCTTCAGGGTCAGGGGTTCTGGTGTTAGGGTGGGACTATATAGGTCATATAGAAAATGCATAAAGTATAAAAATCTTCTTCTTGCCTTCTGTATGTTTAGCAAACAAACTAAGTGCATAGATACTGTTATAGAGAGCAAGAGTGCCTCCTCCAAAATTGTGAAATTTGTGGCCTCTGGTTCAGAGTTTTCTTGCGTTAAGGCAGGCATGGCTCTATTGATTATATAGTGAAAGTGCATTAATTCTTTGAAAATCTTCTTCTCTGCTCCTTGGTATTTAATATACAAACATAGTGCATGATTATAATGATCAAGAGTGCTTCTTCCAAAATTGTGAAATTCATGGATCCTGAGTTGGGGTTATGGAGTTAAGGATGGGCTCTATAGATCATGTAGAGAAAATGCATTAATTCTTCGAATTTTCTCTTTTCTCTGCTCCTGGGAATAAAGCAGACAAACTACATGTAAATTAATACATAGTAATGAAGAGTAAGGGTGCTTTTTCCACAATTGTGAAATTCATGGCCCCTGGGTCTGGGACTCTGGTGTTAGTGCAGGGCTTTATTGATCATTAAGTGAAAATAGGGTCTGGTACTCTGGTGTTAGGACAGGGCTTTATTGATCATAGGGAAAATGCATAAATTCTTTAAAATCTTCTCTGCTCTTGGGTATTTAGCAGACAAACTACTCTGTAAGTGCATAGTAATGAAGAACAATGGTGTTTCTTCCCCAGTTGTGAAATTCATGACCCCTGGGTCAGGGGCTCTAGAGTTAGACCAGGGCTCTATTATGCTTATGTATAGGAATATTTGCTTAGTTTTAAGAGAAGTTTTTTCCCCTTTGTTACTCAACTTTTATAATTAATCAATGTTAGTAAAGTAATTGATAGGTCAATTGACTAAAAAAATATATACAAGAATTAGCAATACATAATATAAAAAGTACTTTTGTAGTTTTTGATAATCAGGTTAACTCTTAAATAATAGACAAATGAAAATGAGACAAAATTATCTTAAATATGTACAGAAATGTTATTCTGAGACAAAGAGAGGCCCATGTGGTTTAGGGCTAATTTCTGGTTGATTATGTTGACTTCTATGCTAATAAAGCACTATTAATTATGATAGAGTTCAGATTGCACTGGCATATACAGGCAAGTTTCTGAGGTGTTGCAGACTATTTTGTTGATCTTCTTTTGTTTTGCAATTATTTACCATTCCATGGGTCTTTTACAGGGGTGTATTATACAGATATGTAAAGATTAAAAAAAATATTCTTTGGTACATCAGAATACATTCATTTTTAGGTACAAAATGTATTTTAAAAAATGCTTTTGAATATTATTTCATTTTGTTAAGAATAAAATTTTGTTCATTTTTTTTCTTAGTGCATATATAATGTGAATGAAATATCCATAAGTTTTTTGTGTGCACATAGTCATTTGCATGTTGGTTGATGAAATATGTTTTTTCTTGAGTTTAGAATAGCAAGCACAAAATATATGTAATTTCAATTGAGTGAATTGGCATACATATACTGTGACCATAATTTATTCTGGGTATTTCAATATTTTAGTATCATACAAACTTTTGGTATCAAAATTATCACCATCATAATACATACTGAAAAATTAATGTAAACTAGAGAGATATTTACAAAATTGTTGTAAGGAAGACAAAAATGACTAAAAATGAATTCAATATAGATTAAGTTGACTGAATTACACTAGTAGATACAGAGTGTAATACAGATATGGTATATATCTGAATTGTAGGCCTACAATCATCATCTGGAGAGTTTTAACACTGCAGACAAAAATCAAGGAGCAGTGTTCCGGGCTTTACCAGTATACCGGGTAAGATTTTATATGGTACAGTTGAACTTTAGTATCACAGAACTGGATATCTCAAATATCTCCAATACTATAGATATGTCAAATTGAGGTGGAAGTTCCAACTACGTTTAATTAATAAGAGGCCTGGACATGTTTATTTATTTACAGATAAAAACTCCCAAGAAAGTGACGATTCCTGAACCGAGCTATAAAATTCCCACGGAGGATGAATCACAAAGTTACCTGTTTGGAAATACTAGCAAGGTGAGAAATGAGTATATATATAATAGATATAAATGTTACAGGTGGTGGCCGTAGTTATTTATATGCATCTCTTTAGGGTTCTTTTTTGTACTTGTATGTGGATTATGTAATGTGGTTTTGATGTGTAGTAATTATTTGTTTGAAAATTTTGCAGAAATTTATTGGGGGGGGGGGGGTATGGGGTGAACATTTCAGGAATTTTACAATTAAAAGTATGTAAATAATTGAGAAAAAAATTTAAACTTGCTGAATATAAGTGAAGAATATATAATTTTTGTTTTGTTTTGGTTCATAAATTCTAAATATTTTTTCTCATGCTGATACATGTGAATCAAGTTTAAATTAACAAGAATATATTTGTATTTATGTAGGAACTTTTTTTTAATCAGTTTGTACTTTCTTTAATATAGATTTTGTCCTTGTCTTCCAAGTTTCTGTTTACTGTGCACGGCTTTTAATATTTATTCAAAAAGAATTTGAAAACTTAGCTTAATTGAGACGATACATGTATATAATCTATTGACTGCTGTATATTTCTGTTGATGTGTTGGGAGATAACATCCTAAATTTTGTAATCTAATGGAGGAAGTATAAGACTATTTGGCATATTTTCTATGACATGAGCAGTTAGGCATGACAATGCATACAGCTAGCACATTTTAAAATATTGTGATTTTGATCGTGAACTGATTTACAGGAGAAAGCTGAATGAGGTGGATGAGTAGGTATTTGAAATATCATGATGTGAAACTTTTATCACCTGATTTATTGTCACTTTTAATTGTCAGGTTTGAATCCCATTAAAAATTTACCCATTAAAAAAAAATCACCAATTTTTAAACCCAAGAAGCACACAGAATTCACTGTTAATTATCCTGTAATGGTTTAAGAGTTGTACATTCAAAGACATTCTTTTAAAAAAAAAAGATCTTTAAATGCCAGTATTAAAATTAATCTTGCAAAAAAACATACTTTGAGATGATGTTGAAAAGCAATCAATACACTTTAAACTTTAAATAGCCGTTACTTACGGTTTAATGAGATCTGACATGATTTTAAAAGGCACTGCCATACCCATACATATATTAAATCCTGACAAATCTTTTAAAAGCTTTGTGTTCAGCTTTAATCAGAAAAAAATGTATTGATCACTAGAGAAAGAAGAAAATACTCATTTTCAGATATGAATGGGACATGATGATTCTTTTTAAGAAAACACTTTGTCACAAGTAGGTTTATGACTGATCTAATGTTCCAAGTGTTCTGTGGTTTTTAATAATTGTGTGTCTCCCCAGCCTGTGTCAATCTCTGCCCCACCCATGATCACGGTGAGGAAACCCCAGTATGTCCCCCATATGACCCGGGTTTATCAGTCCCTTAAGGCAGACCCGCGGCTTAGACTGCCCAGTATAAGGAAACGTAGACACTAGGTAAGATGTCGGTAGTGGGCTAGATACTGCACTAGTAACAAACGTCCAAGCACTTAGTGAAACTTAACAAGATTGAGTGGGCATGGGCTTTAAAAGTACACAAATGGAACCATTCCTGTCCATTTTAATATATGGGCTTTTGCATGGGCTTGACAAGGTATGGGCTACACAGTTATGACCATTTCCAGCACAACATTGGCTTTTGAATGGGTTAGAGTGGGTATAAGCTAGTAGACAGCACATCTGTTTAACTACTACACTTATCTGGCTCCTAAGCATGCTAAGTGAGTGGACTTTTGAGTGGACACTGGGTAAACTAGAACAGCATATAATACAAAAAGACTGAGAAGGCAAAGTTCTGCATTTGTTGTCTATGCAAAGGATGATTTGCTGTTTGCTGTAGATTTAGGTTCAGAGGAAACTGAGCTTGAATTCTGCAAGGATGAAAAGTATGGACTTTGTTTATTAATGAAAGGTCTATCATATTTCCTTTATTTGTGGGATAAATTTTGATTTTTTATTTGCAAAAAGATTTAGAAAGAGAGCTTGGATATTGCACTGTGAATAGCAAGTCCTTGGAGAAGAGGGTGGGCATAATTAAGGCAGGCATATGTACATACGCATGTTCATGTATTTGAAACCTTGATCATCTATACCAAAGCATTGACTGTACAGCACACCATTATATTATTGATATGCAACAAGTCCTTAATGTTATTTTAAAGAATAATCCACAAGTGCATGAAATATCTGAGATGGAAGACAGTTACAGTTTTATGCTTATGTTTAGGTCTAAATATTAGGATTTTTGTGTGTGGAGTAATGCTATACTAGAATGATTCAGGGATTTATTTAGAATTTAGAGGAACAATCCTTTTCAAGATATTTAGAATTTTTATTTGGTTTTTGGGTAGGGGATGTCCAAGTGCCAGATTTAAGGCAGCACTTTCTGTGGGACAAAAAAGAAAAAACAAAAAAATTTTCATTGTCTCTTTTCTTGTGAAAGAAAGCAGGACATTTTCAACTTTTCTTACTGTAGGGACTTTTTCCAGGTGGGGAGGGACACCATATATATTGGTAGTTTATCTTTATTAACCCGAAGTGTAGTAATGACATAGCTTAATATTATCAATTTAGTGATAAAGTGGAAAATTTCAAATAGATAGATACATTGAAAGAACTCAGCACAGAAACACTTCCACAGCAGTGGGTGACAAGACTTTACATATATAACTTTGTAGTATCTTTAGAAAAGTACAAAAAGCGCTTAGACTCATCGTATCTAGGAGACGACCATTTGATTTGAGGGGGGGGGGGGGGGGGGGGTGATGAGTGTGGCAGAAAATATTTCTTCAAAATTGTTGAAATAAATAATCTGTTCTCAACTGGCAAGAAAATAATCTGTACTCCTTTTCAGGTGCTACGGACCCCCCCCCCTCCCCCATCTCTTCCCGATAATCTTGGAAATGAATAATTTATCCTTCACTGGCATGAAAATGAAAATTCCGACTCGAAAAAAAAAATCAAATGGTCGTCCCCTTAGTTATTTGCGCGAACCTGATAGAAAACAGACAGATCGTGTAAACTGCATTGTAAAACAATCAGTCTTATTGGATTATTTATCTTAAGTTTCAGTTCAGTTCCTTCAGCTCCTTTATGTGAAGGGTAATGTGTATGAATTTGTAATTATAACATTATTTAAATAATTCATATAGGATTGTTGATGAAAGTAAATAATACATCTACTAAGTTTATGTTTAATGCAGACTTGTTAAAAGTGTTCATTAAAAATTTTCATATTATCTTTACCACTGACTGCATGAAAGCACGCCTATATAGTTAAAAAAACCCTGATGAAACATTAAGGTTCCTCTAGTTTTACAACCAGTTTTCACATAAACATCCTTCTTAACCTGTTCCAATAACACATACATGTAACAGGATAATTTTATAATAATTAGTCAAAAAAAAAAAAGTAGGTAAACTTAATTGTTTTACTTGTAACCCTATTATCATCAGTTTGTTTCGTGAATGTATGCACATCACTAAAATGTAGTGTACATACTTGGAAATTAATTAAAATCCACTAATTAATGATGAATGCAAACATTTATTTTGTCACTATAAATCATTTGATGCAGTTGTTGAATATTCCAGTGCTTGTGTATTTATAAACCAATGTGATGTATAATTACATTGTACAGTTTTATCAAATAGAAAATATTTCTGCTTTCATTTTATTCCCAAATACTATGTTATTCACATGTATGCTAAACTGGTTCCCTTTATGATTTAAGGCCCCTGCCGCCAAAATGCAGAGACGACAGACGACTATCGTCAAGCCGCCAGGTGGCAGTGTGCTGGGATCCTCTACTAGTCGTTCTGTCGTGTCTTCAAACCTCGTGACCCCATCACCAAGGAGACAAAGTCGCTTATCATAAACAATGAAAAACTATTATTATTGGACCGATTTAATAAATTGGTTTGTTTTTACTTTAATACAAAACAAGCAAATCTGTGATCACCCGTTTGAAGTGCCTATGTTGTTTAACAAGACTTATTTTTAACTTGAATGTACTTTATATTTAAGATAATTTATTGTTCAGAACTTTTTATACACAAAAATAAAATTATGTTTGTTTAAGATGAGTGTAATTTGCAATAACCAAGCCTCGTTTTCTGTTCAGCTCAATTCTTGGAGGCTGCAATTCATTCCCTTACTATCAAATTTGATTTTCCGTAGAAAATTTATTTCGCGATATGTACGATTTATATTTAGTAACACATATTTCGCACCCTTCATTCCAATTCTCATAATACGCAAAGAGTATTCAAATAACTAAAGATAGTAGAATGAAAATTTTGAGACACGGAAATATTAAAGATTGTAGAAGCATAAAATGCACTTAAAAGTGTTAACAAAAATAAATTATTAATATAAATGGTTGGCCAGTCGGAAGGGGGAGGGAGTTAAGCTAGAGTTAATCTTAGTTCTTAGTTTTGCTATGTTGACTGAATGCAGAGAGAGATGTGGGGCGCGTTTCTTTTTATCAGCTGTTTATTGTCTTTCACTAATTACGTTTGTAATAATTTTCATTAGACATATTTTTAGTCATGTACTCGTTGACGAATGAAAATTTTTACTTGGTTAGGTGATGGGGTATTCAGATTGCTTCGACTTGAAGTGTGTCCTCCTGTATTTGAATATTGAAAATTAATACACTTGCAAAAGGATCAGGAACAAAGACAGATAACCCATATTGAATCTGTATGAGGTGAAACCACATTCTCCTTTCAAGTTTTTTTTATTTCAAAAAAAAAAAAAATTATTAGGAAAAGATGAATCGATCGGTCATGAAATACACCCAATCTAATTACATCTATAGATGTTCAGTATCCGCTGTCGCTTCTCAAACGATGTTTGAGGAGCGGTATCGAATTCGGAACATCTAATTTTAATTAGATTGGTAATGCACCATGTTGCAAATTTTGAATTTTTTGGATATGTATATATATATATATATATATATATATATATATATATATATATATATATATATATATATATATATATATGCAAATACAAAATTTTCAACATAATATTTAAGAAGCTTGCGGCCCCCCCCCCCCCCAATTTCCATCCCGGTAACCCAGGGATTGACGACTCATCTTTACTCTTTATGAAAAAAAAAATCACACTGACTGCAGTGCATAATACACTTCTTGAGAGTAGGCAAAATTTAAGAGAAAATGAATCGAATATCCCAGGGGTACGGAGTGGGGGTGGGTGTCCCGTCTCTAAGCACCTGTGTTAAACGTGGCATTTTAATATCATTTCCTAAAAATATAAAAAAGAAATTATTACCAACAATTTAATATGCGTAACAAAAGTACATTTTACAAAATAAATGTTAGTACACTAAAATACAAGTTAGTACATAATGAAAAAATATTTACAATATATACATACCTACAAACAATAAAATTTTTATCAATTAAAACTGCATCTAAATATGTATATTGAGGTAGAGAAATTTTAAAATACTTATCACAGTTCAAGTGAAATATGTACAACATAAATAAAAATGGGCATGCGCAGCACATCTCTGAGTATAGGGTGTATCAAATCACACCTTCTGCTCTGGGCATTCAGACGGGTTACTGGACGTTTCCGCTTTTTCCGTGATGGGTCTGGGTCCCTCCATGCCTGTAGTCTCTGGGTTTATCCCCATTTTGAACCAAATACATCCGAGAACATCATAAACGTCTGGCCGCTGTGAGAAGTCGTACTTGAAGCACCATAAGATCAGAGCTCTGCATTCCTCCGATACGTTCTTTTTAATCTTATGCCACGGGAAGTTGAGCCTTTTGTGTTCCTCTAGCACCCCGTGATTTCCTTTACTCTCATCAAATGGCATTTTTCCGGTGACAAAGATGTATAAAATGACGCCTATGGCCCAAATGTCCGCTTTTTGAGTATCGTATGGTTCCCCTTTTAAAATCTCTGGAGCAGCATAAGATTTGGAACCACAGTATGTTTTGCTAAGGTCCCGGTTGGGATCCTCTTTGACAAATCCAAAATCGCAGATTTTTATGTTGTAGTTACTGTCCAAAAGAAGGTTTTCTAGTTTGAGATCCCGATGGGTGATATTTAGCTCATGGAGGTACCGAACGGCCTCGCAGATTTGCTTAGTCCAGTTTCTCGCCATCCCTTCCTTAATCGCCCCAGTACGCTGAATATATCGAAGGACATCGCCATTTTCTCCAAACTCTAGCACCATATATACACGCCTAGAGTCCTCAAATATATCCAAGAGTTTGACAATGTTTGGGTGATTAAGTTGTGGCCAAATTTTGATTTCCCTTGGCAGAAACCGCTGTTGGAAGTCTTTGGGGGCCTTGTTCCTGTCCACAATCTTGACAGCCGCCCTATCCCTATCCCCAGTGAGATAGTATGCAAACTTTACTTTTGAGTAACTGCCACTTCCGAGGGTCTGTTTTACTAAGAGGCCCCTCTTAGCGAGGACAGCCCGGTAGGTGGGACGGTATTTTATGGCTTCGCATCTGTCTGTTGAACGACGGACCTCTACTGCTTCCACTTCGCCTTGCATTATCTCCAGCTCGTGTTGCAAATTCTGAGAATCGGGAGGGTTCTCAACCATCGCACACTTCTGCTTTTTATTGCTCGGAGGCATCCAATCTTTGTTACAGGCTCCAGCAGTTGTTCAAGATATCACACTGCTGTTTTTTGGTAACGATGACGAAAACGAGACAGTGTTGATACGGAGTTAAGAAGAGAACGTAATAATACAATGACGTCACAATGGTCTACACTCCGTCATCTGGCGCCATTGATGCCGGGTGGACTATGATGTATTTTAGTTATGGGCTCAAAACTTGAGTTTATGTCTTCAACTGATGAGGAGGAAGAACTAAAGAAAAGGGGTTACAGTCTTGGAACTCTTCTTGGGGAGGGTTCTTATGCTAAAGTGAAAAGTGCGCACTCGGAGAAGAACCAGAAAAGGGTAGCGGTAAAAATAATCAACAGAAAGAAAGCCCCTAGAGATTTCCGAGAGAAATTTTTACCTCGGGAACTTGCCATTCACATCACTTTGGAACACCCTCATATTGTTCAATGTTTTGAGTTACTGGAATTCCATAACAAGGTAAACATAATGATGGATGCATTTACTCATTTTCATTATGATTACATAATTAAATATATATGTAGGTATATGCATTTTTCGAGAGTTCATTGGTGTCTTTTAACGTAAACAGTTTTTATGTGTATCAAACAAATTTTTCAATTTTCTGTCAAAAATATTGTTTTTAATTTGTAAACGCATTTACAGTATGTTAATTCAATACAGGTATATATAATAATGGAGTATGCTGGTCACGGAGATTTATTGGAATTCATCAAACTTCGCGGGGCGATAGAGGAGGACAAAGCAAAGCTCATGTTCCGACAGGTCTGCTCAGCGGTGGATTACCTCCACCAAAACAACATTGTCCACAGGTGAGTCTACATCCTCTAAAATAACACCATTCACTGGAAATTTTGACTTGGACTTTATCCATGCACCTAACTGACATCGTTCACAGGTAAGTCTGTCGTGGGATATCTGCACCAAAATAACATCGGCCATGCACAGATAAGTCTTGTGTGGATTACCTCCAGCTAAATGATATTATCCATGTAAGCAAGTCTGGTGTGGATTATCTCCACCTAAATGATATTATCCATGTAAGCAAGTCTGGTGTGGATTATCTCCACCTAAGTAAATTGCTCACAAGAAAATTTTATGTGGATAAACAACAGGTGAACATAGTGTGGAGATGTGACGTGGATTACCTCCACCAACGTGTTAAAACAAGATTCTTTATTGGCAAGACAGGTGGGGAGAATTTGCGTGTATACTGTAAATTTTTATTTATTTGCAAGAACTTTATTTTTGCGTTATTATGCAACATCGTCTGCTCGTGAAAATTTCATTCTAGCATATTTATATTCCTAAAAGTTTATTTGCAACGATAACCGAACTTCGTAGATATAAAACCCCAAAAAACTATCTTGCGAAAATAAGGTGTCGCGAAAATCTGGTGATCTGCAGTATAATCTCCATTAAAATCAATCTTTTGAATACCTTACACCCTTCTGATTTCCATACGTTGTTCTAGCACAGTTTCCACCTTAATTACAACATCTATAGATAAATCTAGCAGTAAAGCAAAACAGATTTTTTTCTTTGGTATATTTTATTGACAAATATATGATGGAGGAAAGAAATTAATTACATGTATAAGTGTATATTATTAAAATAAAATGAATTTTAGAGTACACTTGATATCCCGTACATTTCAGAGATATGAAGTGCGAGAATCTTTTGCTGGATGGTCTTAACAACATCAAAGTTTCTGATTTCGGCTTCTGTCGGAAGATCGAGCCCGGAGATATATGTAAAACCTTCTGTGGAAGTGCTGCTTACGCCGCCCCGGAAATTCTTCAGGGAATCCCCTACCACGCCCCTTTTCATGACCTCTGGAGCATGGGGGTAATACTGTATATCATGGTGAGTAATATAGTAATATACCCTATATACTAGATGCAAAATGTTGAATCTTCAGAATCAAGGACAGACGTTACAAACAAAAATAGATACCTGGATTAGTATATGTATTTGGACCTATTCTGGTTTTAAATAATGCAAATATCAAATTTCTGAAGTATAAAGAAATTGTAAAATTTCTATGATGCTCAAAATTCTACCTTTCTGTGATCGCCATATAAATCTATACTATTTTCTGTATAATTATCGTAAAAATTATTCATTTTATAGGACACCATTGTGAATTTTTGAATGAAAAATTAAAATCTATGCGGTTAAATTTATTCATTTTATTTATACATTGTATAATTAAACATTCACTAAAATTGTTATTTTCATGGTTTAAAAAATGGTTATATCATCTGTCCTTAAAGAAAAATTAGAATGGCATAAAAAAAAATTATTGCCGTTGTATACAAAGGTCTGTGCCTCGATGCCTTTTGATGATAGCAACATCAAGAAAATGGTACGAGAACAATTAGAGAGAAAAGTGGGATTCTCTAAATCCAAGAAATTAACAGCAGAATGCAAGGACCTGATTCACCGGATTCTAGAAGTAAACGTCAAACGGCGAGCCACCATAGCGACCGTGATGGACCACCCATGGATGCAAGAGAAAAAAGCCGAGCCGGATACAGCGGCCCTGAAGGCAAAGGACAGGGAGGCCAAAATGGTGGAAGCGTCCGAGACCCTGAAGTCCAAGTTGGCCGGGGCCAAATGTTGTGATTGATGCGGCCTTACTATATCTAGATTTGTTAGAGTTAATTTTCACCTTCTGTTTATGAAATTCAGATATTTTATCATTAATTGTGTGTTGATTTCTGTTTTATTTATCACAAACAATGTAACAATAAAAAACATTTAAACAACATAAATAAATATTACCTTAGTAATAAACAAATCTCGTTGTAACAATAAGTCAATAATAAAATTTTAAACAGTCTCTTGGAAGTCGTATTATTTGTCAATATTTTTTTGGCCAAACTGAGGCAGAGTGTTCTTCAAATATTGTGACGAATTAGAGGTCCGGTTGTTGCGAGGTATCAAGGTCTCTAGTTGAGGTTCGGTATCCCTCGGATTTTAAAGGCTATAATAGTAAACACAACAAAGGAAACACTAAACCCTCCCAGAGCCCAGAAGTTTGTGTGCATGTTATCCACGGCGTCCGGATAGAAGTCCCGTAAATACTGGTTACCCGTCTCATACTGACAAACTCCTAAAAAATAATATAAAGCAAAATTAAGTCACTTATTTTCCGAAAATGTATTTCAAAATCCAAATATTCAAAGTGCGTAATCTTGTATTTAGCGACATCGTCATAATATATCAGTTTTATAGCCCACCTTTATCAGGCGGTGGGCAGGTGAAGTTGAGCCCATTAAACTCGTTGGCCATTAGAATTTCTGTGCTGTATTTATGAACACTGAGCCAACTGGCCCACTGGAAAATCTCCAACATGTTCTTGATACTTCTACAATTAAAGAAAAAAAGAAAAGGCTTATATAATCCAGAGTTGTCCCTAAGAATTGAAATAGCAGGGGTCATTGAAAAAATAGAAGGGGGTTTGGGGTTCCTCCCTAACAGGGGGTTGAGAGGGAATACCAGAAAAACCAGGGAATTACATCATTATCGGTTGGAAAATTCCCCGGCCCCCGGGTCTTAGGGAGAACCCTGATAATCTATATGTAAAACTCGTCCGTCACAATATTTTGAACACAATGATGACAAACGTTTTTGTAACTTTATTTTTCAGCAATGTTTTAGTGGTTCCCAAAAACAACATCAAAATTTCTTTGTAGAAAGCTTGTCAGAGCAACTTGACGGAAATGACAGTTTACTTATACACGCAAAACTATTCAGTTTTTCCTTAGTTTGCTCGATGACTGATTAATTGCCTGAAATGAACCAAGGCCAGCTTACTTAAGGCCAAATCAACCTTTTGAAATTCCTCAAGGCCAGACTAAATGCTGGAATAACGTGTACCTAAGTCCAGTTGTCTGTCTGAGAAATACAGTCAATTTACTGGTGTAATAAATTCTAAAACCAGATGATCTTGAGACCTAATTGTTCGAGGTTTTTAAAAGTTACTGCAAAGTCTCTCGTTCAAAGTTCATGTACTTGACTTAAAATTACATCTTCTTGCTTTTAATTAAAAGAAGTCCCGAAGACAAATTTCTCAAATTGCCTAATAAGTCATGAAATCCGCGTTACTAGCCTAGCCTAAATAAGTCTTAAATCCATGTTAATTAAATAATTGTCTGAATAGTTCAAAGGTCAGACTACTTGCCTGAGAAGTCCTGAGGCGAGGAGAAGAGAGGCTGTTAAGACCAGGGCTGACGTACTATTGGCAATGTTAGGGTCGATGAGGACTCCCATGGTACCAACTGTGATTATCTCCCCTATGAAGTGGAGGGCACACACCACGGCGTAATAGATGGCGAATCTATCCCATGTCGGATAAAGCCCCGTCACCCTGAAAATGATTCTAATTGTGTCATATTGTAATTTTTGAATTTACCGGGTGGTAGTAAATACAAAAATTACAATATGACAATGTATGTATTGTTTTGTATTTCAGTATTTACTCAAGTATAATATTTCAAAAATTACAATATGACAATTGAATTGAGTAACAGAGAAAGGGGACATTTTATTATTGAAACAAATTTCTCTCAGCTGAAAATGATTTATGTTCTGCAGAACAACAATAAAAGAAAATTTTACTGTAGTGAAACAAATTGAGCTAAATATGACCACGGTGCAAGGCCGTCAAATGGGGAAGTGCATTCGGTGCGAAAGCATCCCTTTTATTAAAAGCTCTAAAGTATCATGTTGAAACATTCATAAATCCTGTGTATAAAATAGTTTTTGCATATTCAAGAAAAGACTTCACAATGCACAAGAACCCACCGAAATGGTACCCATTTATAAAACACTTCTGACTTAAGTGAGGGCCCGGTGTACTCCTCCCTGACCACCCTTCTGGTGACGGCCTTGATGACGCAAGTTTTAATAAGGTAGCTAGTTGGCTATGGTTAAAATTTGACAATTAACGAGATAAATATTTACCAGTAGACGACGATACTGAAGATGAAGCTGGCGATGATGTGGAAAGGTAGAATGTGGATTGCATATGTCAGAATAAAAGTAGCAGTGGAGTACAAACCGTCCCGACATTCTCTGTAGAAGAGATCCCTCAGAGGTGGAACTATAAAGAGAAATAGGGTGTGGATCTATTGTGCCACACGTACAAATGTTAATATTTACACAAACAATGATGCATAATTTTATTTTTTTTAAACACAATACTTCTGGGTGTTTTAAAAATATCAAAATTTGGAGTATTTCTGGGAGTTTGAATTATGGTTAGTAGACTTTGGAAGATATGCAACATGGAGGCCAGAAAGCTGTATATAGTAGAATAATAACATGCATGCGTTATATGCTGTTCTTAATAAGAGTTCCATGCTAAAATAAGGTAGAACTTAAAATAAAATAGGAAAAAATGAATATTCCATGCTTTATAGTCATGGGGGAAAAAAACAGACCACTGTTTTAATTTTATTTCATTTTTGCAAATATACCAGACCAGGGAACTTAAAGCACTTTGAAAAAAAGGTACACCTGATAAACATGCAGATCTTGGACAAGAAATTGACCCAAAGCCCCTCCCCCCGGGTCATATACCGTCCTTTGCCCCCGTAATCTCCCTCCCTGAATGCTTAGGCCACACATCACAATATCACGTTCTCTTTGCTCCAACTTTTTAAATAGGGAATGTGGCGTTATATATGATGTGGAGAATATTATAAATGCATATAAGTGTACGTTACAGCACTGCAAAAGCATGCATCATATATTTCATGGGAAAAGTGAGAATAACATCAATAAATTTAAATGATTTACTTTAAAAAAAAAAAAAAGAAGAAGAATTGGAATAATATGAAAAAAGGATTACTACTTGTCAGAAAAAAAAAATAATAAAGGGAAAATGAAATAAATATAAATTAAAAAAATTAAAATCAGATTGATAAAATGAATTAATTTTAGGTTTCTACAAAAATAACCCATGTAGGCTTATCGTTACTTTTTGGTGTTTGTGCTAGAACAATATTAATTAAAGTAAAATGTTATTCTAAGATAGCGGGAAAACACAACAGTTATATAAAACACGAAAAAAAATACTAGTCATTCTTAAGACAGATTAGGGACTACAAGTTTTGTAGCCCCTCCCAACAAAAACCAGACCCCACCCCCGCCCACAATTTTCCTGAACGATATTGCATTTCCAAATGAACTAAAAGATACATTTAGACATTCTATTCCAGTCCATGTATTAATAAATCAGAGATCATTGCAACCATGTTGGAGTTCTAATCCAACATTTGTTTACATCCACCGAAATAGATTATATACAATTATTGCTGTTTTTGAGGTCAATACGATGATTTAGGCACCTGAGGAGTACAATATTAACCGAGCCCGAAGGTCGAGGTAAATATTGTACTTCTAAGGTGGCTAAATCATCGTATTGACTGAAAAAATAACAATAATTGTTTTATTACATGATTCAATGATTAAATAAAACAAACTCATGAAGCAATCCATGCCATCTTGTTTACATTTACAGAAGTCCCAGCCAAGCGCAATGAGAGAAGCGGGGTTAAAATAAACATAACCAGTTGTATTAATTTGGAATTCTTAATTCTAATTTAGTTGCTATGTAGAAAAAATAAATGTCAGGAACGTTTGAAAATTAAAGGAGGGGGGTTTATAAGAAAAGGAAAAAAAATGTTTGACTAGCCCCCCCCCCCCCCCAAGAGGAGAATTCTCCAAACTCCAAATTTTACTTATATCGGGGTTTGGGGAGCCGGATAATATGGTCAATATACGTTGAAGGGGGGGGGGCAGCCTTTCAATGAACATTTTCATACTTAAAAGTAAAATTTGTTAGAAAAAAGTGTGGGATGGGGCCAGGCCCCTTGCTCCCCCACCTCATCCTCCCAATTCTATGTGCCCGAATGTTAAGTTAACCGAAGTTAAAGTCGGGTGCAAGTGAATTAACTTCCCAGAACAATATGTATCAATATGGAATTTGCCGATCTATTTGTAGTCCAATGTAGAAAAAAATAAATCCTTATGTTCACCTGGAAGGTCATTTGTGCAGGTGAACATAGCGTAGTATTTTTTCTACAATGCTGGATCTTAGCCAATCGGAGGGCTAGGAATTATCCAATCACATAATAAAAGAAAATATATACAGCATCTAAATATCACCACAGACACGTTTTAATGGATTGCTCCAGAATAAAATAAATGGTTTAGCATATACTTACTAGTATGACTATCAGACAAAATGAGGATAACGGACAATTTTCAATCAGAATATTGGCTCAGGTATCAGACACATAAATCTAATATTTAAGAACTACGTAAAAACACAGCGTGATAATGATTACTACTCTAATAAATATTTTAAATCTATCTCTATAGATCTAAGAACACAATACTAATTCATGGAAAAATGAGAGTGTTTGCAAAAGCTTTATAGACATAAAGGAATGAATGGTAAGAGATGAAAACCACTGTCAACGTGAATATTTTTGCAATGGTTGTATTTGCTAGGGCTGTCACGAGTACCCGAAATAACCGAGAACCGCGGTCCAAGTTGTTCGGTTCGGTTCCGGTTCCATTTTTCCGGATTTCGGTTCGGGTCCGGTTTATATATTAGAGTGTTCAATACAAAAAATGGCGTCGAAATCAAAAGAATGATGACGATAACAGTGATAAATAAACATCACAACTGAAATCTACTTCATTCCATGACAAAACACTTGTCACGGATGCATTAGATAATTATCAAAACGAGCAGGAATGGTCAGGTTGTGGCTAATAGTAGGCCAAGTCACCGATGTCGAGACGTTCGCATGGTTAAGACTTGTTTTCAATGTAAATTTAATGTAACAAATAAAGATTTTTCAAGTTAAATACATAAAATTAAGGTTTAAAATAGATGTAAATACCCGACCCGAAAAACCCGAAACCGAACCGAAAATTTACAGAACCGACCCGACCCGAAAAATTTTGGAACCGTGACAGCCCTAGTATTTGCGAGGTTCGTCTATACCACTACCTTTTCCTTTAGTGTTACCCAAGATAAAAAGTATTTGATAATTATTGTGAAAAACCCCAATATGTGCTACATATAATTTCACGAATTTTATTCCATCGTAAATACAACCCCAAACATGTTCACGTGCAGAGGTATATATACGGAGAGAAGGATCGTGCATAGAGTTAGAGATTTTGAAAATTTTGAATAAATTAATATAAAAATATCAATAACACCGAGTTATTGTGCTCTAAGTAACATAACGTTTGGTCAGTAGGTTAAAAAATAACACAGAAAACAACATGTCATAAATACTCCTACACGTACTGTAGCTTTTGATAATGTCAGTTATTTAACAAAAAAACTGTCTTGCATAACATAAATAGTTTTATAATTACATAAATCATTAATAAATTTGTCAATAGCTTGACGTAAAGTTGATCCACTTTCACATTTCTATGTCTAAAGAAGGAGCGCATCATACGATGCTCAGAAATTAAAAGCATAGGGCGTCCAAGAATGTAAATATATCGGGGAAATCTTTAAATAAAATATTTTATTAAAAAAAACTTTAAAAAGTGGGGAAAAAATAAGTCCCTCCCCTTGAAAAATATTCCCCGAATATTCTTCAAACGCCCTTAGAAAAGAAGCAGGTGAAATGTTAGCATGGAGCAGGAACTGACTTACAAATGGCCACGGCATTAAGAATGGAGACATACGGGGGCACACTGGCGGACTGATACATCAACCCAATCCTGTCTTGTATACTTTCCTGGTTCGTTTTCATGTGGCCCAGGAAGGCGCAGATAAACGGAACAAAGAGCGCCAACATAAATACGCGCGGAATGTAGATCGTCCGGTCCCTCATCAAATTCACCATCATTCGTCTGTAAGAAAGAGAAAGTAGATTACTTGCAATACTTTAAGAAAATGAACGAATGCAACATGTTAATCTGATAATTTTTTTTTTCATTACACATGCTAACTGCCCTGTTTTATTTTTTTCCTTTAAATCTCGTCATCGAATTAACGAAGAGAGGTGCATTATTCAAACTTTATTTCGTTTTCTTCCATTTTATTAAAATTTCTTTTAAAGGGAGGGTCTGATAATACTATGGAAGTACTCACTTCCACAGGGTAAACATCACCCGAAACACATTAGGCGGTCGTGGTTTGTAGAAATAAAGCATCGTTGCTCTGTTTGTTGGTCGCATTGTTGCCTCATTGACGTCATTTACAGTCTCGTTATGAATCTCTGATTTATAAAATGTGTCCACCAGGTGGCGTACTCTTGTAGCGGTTTCGTGTTCCCTTTGATGGTCTCTTCTGTCTATACTGGCCAAGTCAACTGAGAAAGGAATTAGCTGTACTGTCATATCATTCTTTATATATGTGGCAGTGAAGTTTTTAAAAAAGCAGATTATCTTGTTCTCTTTGTGGTATACTTACCAATGAAGGATATAACTTTGGATTTTATCCGAGATTCCTCTGACTCTAACCCCCAACATTTGGACATGTGCACACATGTCAAGATATATAAGAGTCAGGGGAATATTGGATCACTCTGGGTAGATAATGAGACTACCGTTTATTAAACCTACCATAAAAATCCAATGGATTTGCATACGTAGGACACGGGTATCCAATGTTCTGAAAGTGATCCAGCATCTGTTCCGCTCCGCCAAAGTACACCATATCACCCATACTGAGAATACCGACTTCGTCAAAGAGTTTAAAGATGTCAGATCGAGGCTGATGAATTGTGAGGAGAACCAGTTTACCTCTTCGTGCGATGTCGCGGAGGTTTGAGACTAGATAGTGTGCCGTGTAACTGTCCAGGCCTGTGGTGGGTTCGTCTAGCAGCAAAATCTCTGGAGTGATGGGTATTATTTTATGATAATTTTGAACAAAAATGGTTAGAAATGAAAGAAAAAATGCTAGATATTCCAATATGCTTCGTGTAAATAAGAAAAATCCGTATGTTCTGTCATGGTTAAGATAAAAGGTATTAAAAGAGAATTTAAAACCATTGTATATAGTACATTAAAGTAGTTTTGTTGCAACATCACAACTTCAGGAACAATTGAATTACTTGGATCTTGTAAGAGCTGAAGTGCAATTGTAACTCTTCTTCGTTCACCGCCAGAAATTCCTCGAACTATGGAACCTCCGATTCTGCTATCAGCCACATTCTTTAATCCCATCTCATTTATAACATTATTTACCTGTTCAACACGCACAAATAGATATTCATTAAGTATATATAACAATCATTCGTATAAATTTTCTTTGAAAGACAATTTCAACATAATTTTGTGTTTTAACCTTGTTTTCAATTTCGAATTGTTTGGTCCGACCGGGCAGCCGTAGAAAGGCGGCGTATCGGAGCGTCTCTCTCACTGTCAGATTGTGGAGAAAACGATCGGCCTGCATGACGTAGGCACCGTATTGTTTTATCACTTCTTTAGAACATTCATAATTGTTGTAGTAAACCTTGCCTGTCACTTGACCCTCTGTTCTACAGGCTATAACATCCAAAAGGGAAGTTTTACCAGATCCTGAAAAAAAGCTACTCTATCAGAACCATACTTTCATTTCTCCATGCCAACTCAAACTCTATAAGTAAAACTTCTGTCACTTAATTTACAAAATGACAGATTTATTTGAATATTGTTCACTAATTTTTTTTTAATTTAATCAAACAAAAACAGAATAATGAATAAACTGATAAATAAAAATAAAGGATCTAAAATAAAATATTACATTTTTCAAGAAATAGAAGACCATTGATATTTTATGGAAAATCCAGGAAAATCACGTCAACATTTTCGAGATGCTCGGTAACAATACGATGTAGCCCAAGCAAGGACTCCAATCAATGCGAATTACTTTGGATTAACATGAATTCTTTAACACCGATCTTTTTTTGTTAAAAAATTCTCTTCAGTCAGCTTTTGTCGTTTTGCTATTAGGTAAACAAAAACCAGATGTCTCTGAAGAGATTGTGGCTCTACTGCTCTGTTCTTATAATAGTGGAGAAGAAGAGACTAGTTGAACCTGGACTTTATGTATCGTGATGTTTTTCTTAACTTGTATAAAGTTTTATTGAAATCAAACCAAAACTGTAGGAAAAGTAGTATTTTGAATGAATTTGTTTACAAAAAAAAATGGAACCATGAGAACATCTTTGAAAGGTGTGGTCCACTTTAAACTATTGTTCATTAAAATTGGTTTAAAACTGTAAGTGATGTAGCATTTTGACACAAAAAATTCTATTTTTAGTAACTTGGCTATGCCATTCATATGAATCAAAAACCAATACATGTATTTTCTGTGCACCAAGTTTTATTGAAATCGGACGAAAATAAGCGTTTTGAAAATCTTTTTCACAGAAATACAGTTTTTGTTTTACGTTTTGTTCTTAGACCAGTTGCTTATAAAGAGTCTAATTCTCTCTATATGAAAGGAAACTAAAAGATACCGAATAACAGTTATCGAACCTGAACTTCCGAGTATTGCAGTGAGTTGTCCGCTCTTTAACTGCACAGTGACGTCACGGAGTACGGTCTTTTTCCGCTGTCTCCGGAAACACGCCCCTTTCCACCACGGGCCAACCCTTTCTTTGACCTCATAATTAACATCCAGTAAGTTCAAGGTCGGTTTTGATGCCCGCTCTTCTTCTTCTAAGTCCGGGGAGAAGTTTGAACAACTGCTCAGCACATAATTCAGATCAAAGATGCTGGGGCTTTCCATAACATCATTTCGTGTCTCCATAACTTTTCTTTATCAACATGCAAATGAAAAATAAATAAATAAAAATACAACATATAAACACTTTAATAATTAGTTTTCATAGAATTTTTCCCAATTCCAGTTAAAGTGTATAGTATATGATACAATCGCCATTTTAAAAACAACGTGGATGACACAGCAGCCATACAAAAAATCCCTTAAAGATTGCAACACACAAAAGGGAAATAATTAAATTACGCATTCGGCAAACCTCGGCTGATTCCGTCACCTTCATCAAAAGTTTGATGAGGTAAGAATCGGCCGAGGTGTGCCGAGTGTTACAGACCCTGAAACGTGCTACTACCCCCAAAAAGCGTGTAACTTTCGTGCGCTTTTCGTTTCGTGCAAACCGTGTAGCGTTTCGTGTAAACCGTGCAGCGTTTCGTGCAAACCGTGTAGCGTTTCGTGTAAACCGTGCAGCGTTTCGTGTAAGCTCCAAAGCGTTTCGTGCAAACCGTGTAGCGAGCGTGCGAGAAGCGTGTGAGAAACGTGCGACTTTCGTGTAAGAACCGTGTGAGAAACGTGCGACTTTCGTGCAAGAATCGTGTGAGAAACGTGTAGGATTCATTCGGAAGTCATTTCATTTTAAATATGGCTATCGATGGGTCAGGATGTCAAATGGTGTTGTTTATAGCTAATATTATTCGGAGATATTATACTGGATGTATTTTAAGAGTAAAATAAAAAAAAAAGTATGAGAGCAACAAAATAAAATTACACGGTAATGTATATTAAATTTGTTTCTCTTTATTTTTTCCCTCAAAAATAAAGATGGACAGGAAATTTATTCAAATTAATTACATGTAATAACAGTGTATGTGCAACATTTTTATTGAATTGATTTAAATGCACAATCGGAGTGATCATATCTTTTTTATTTTATTTTCCAAAGAAAGCAACAAACGAAATTTCAAACGAAATTTTATCAGGACTCCGCTCTTGTCTATTACCAGATTGTATTAAATAATTTTAATCAAAAATGTGTGTCATTAATAGTCTTCAAACACATAGCATTGGTTGATTAATAATTGAAATTATGAGCATAATTCACATGCATTTACGAACGCAGGATTACAAATTACCGAGAAGGGGGGGGGGGGTGGCGCAATTCAAAAACGCAAGCTTTAAATTTCAATATTTGTCGGTACTGGGTGTTAAAAAGCATAATTGACTTTCTTTTGTATAAAGAAATAAATACTTAATTTATGTGGTGCATCGGATGCACCACTTAAAATATATTGGAATATTTAAATCTTCAACTTCCCATTTGCAATGTGCGAATGTGATCAAGGTCATTTACGACAGCGACCTCGGGCTCCACGGACAGGGAACTGAAAACTTGTTCTGCTTTTACATGTATCTTTTATCAATCATGTCTAATATATACCCGAGAATAATGATTGAGTTTAAATTTGTAGTATTAAATGCTTATTTTTTTTTTTATTTAATTGGTACACATAATACCCGTGGATTTTATTTTTAATCGACCCGAATTTCCGTGATCAGTAGATTGTTTGGCAGTCACAATAAAAAAGAGTTAAGAAATAAATTATACATGTAAATAACAATTACATATCAGTTGTTTTATAAATCGGGCAGCTTTAATTTGTATTAAAATATTCGAGTTTTCATGTACTGTACTTGGACATGTATACACGAATATTGCATGGTAAGTTGTGCCGTGACTATTTGAAAATTACATAAAATTTCCCCTTAACCGAGTTTTATAATGAAAGAATTTACAAGGTGATGGGTACATGTATATTGTATACCCCCCCCCCCTCCCCGCGGGTTTTTCTTCCATATATAGAATTCTAATGTTAAATTAAACTCTATAATAAAACGTTTAAATGTTAAAACTACCATTTGGCATAAAATGTTTTATTTTATAAAATCTCGCTGGAGTCATGAATATTTTTAAGCACAGTTACTTGTTTCTCTAATAATTTTTTCCCGATAGTATAATTACTATAACGACTGCCGGTGGTCTTTAGCCATGTCAGATTTACAGATACACAAGTAAGATCTCGGTAATCTCCCCCCCCCCCCTCCTCGCCCCCGACCAAAAGAGAGAAAGAAATTAAATGCATAATCATCCTCTTTTCTGCAATGTACTTATTAATTTTGCATATTAAAGAAGTGAACCTGAATTAATTAAATAAAATAAACTTACTGCTAAATCATAAGAAAATCGATCCGTTCACGGAAATAAACACGGTACAATATTCATTAAAAATTAATTACTTGAGTTATATTTCGCTAATAAACGAGTTTTTAATATAATACATAAAAAAGATTAATGCCGAAAGAAATTATGAGGGACAAATATAAATGTTTCTCTTGCAGTGTAAAATTTAGAGAAAAAAAGGATGTACACTGACGATGATGGGCATATCACCTTAAAACAAGCGGATTACAAACGGAAAGACAATCATGAATTATTATCTACTAAACTTTGAATATTTCTATCAGTTTATAAACATGTAGTACAGGTGTAGCGAGTTTTAATTTAAAACATACTGTGAAAGATTGCGACTCTAAATTAATCTATATTTAACCTGTAAAAAAATGAATAATGCCCGAGAGATTCCGAACAGAATATCCAGATCGAGGCCAAAGCGTGTGAGAAACGTTTTCAAAGCGTTTCGTGCAGCCTTTCGTGCAAAGCGTTTCGTGTAAACCGTGTAGCGTTTGGTGCAAACCGTGTAGCGTTTCGTGTAAACCGTGCAGCGTTTCGTGCAAACCGTGTAGCGAGCGTGTACCGTTCGTGCAGCGTGCGTGTGGGGTAGTAGCACGTTTCAGGGTCTGTAAATTACGGTGCACATTTGTTAACTTGTACATAGTATACTGATTCAATGATGAAAGCATTGTTTGTCGCAAGTTATAACCGCAAACAAAAATGATTTCCTACGTGTATTCATACATGTACATGTATCTGCATACAGTATTTTATCCAAGTCAACTATGTTTTTGTTCAGTTTTATTTTCATTTGCTTTTGTATTTAATATTTTGTAACTCAATATACTGAAACACTGCACACATAAGACGGTCTATCGAATTATTTCTCTGTTTAGTATTTAGGAGATAATTCTATGAGCTGATAATTGCTTTATTTTACCTAAGTAGAACCGTTATCACTAGTTAATATAAAAAATACTCTCCTATCTGTATTGGATTAGAAAGGTACAACTGTATACGGTGTAATGCACTGCATATATATACATTTGATATGTACATAAAACAGTTATTGAATGAAATTCATAGGATTAGGGTTCAATTTTTAAATTAACATTGTTTGTGAATGATGTGAAAATTAATTATTAAAATTTTCATTAACTGTATCGTTCACCTTAACAAGTTCTTTAAAGTGATCTATTTTATAAATACTTAAAATAAACAAAAATGAACAATTCATAAGGATAGCTTTAATATCCGAGACTTATACACGTCTTTGTTCAATATCCAATGCCATTATCAAAGCTCTATCGGTATGATAATCTATCGAAAAGATTAATTTCACATTTTAATATTTCAACAGAGTTCTAAATGACATGACTAATAAACAATCAATAAAAAATGATCTTAGTCAGAATTTTGTCAATGGCGAGATGGAATTGTCTACTTACTATGTGCTGTAGCCGCAGCACCGGAAGTCCCACACAGGAAACCTTCCTAGAGATCAATACCCGGATGAGTGTTATGCCTCAAGCCGCATAGGCCGATAAAACTAAATGATAAAGTTACAGGTAGACGGGTAAATACACAATGGTCAATAAAATCAGATAAAGAAAACGAAGATAAATATTCCAATGTCATCCGTCATTACGATACAGGGACAATGCAAACACTGCACCGTGACTCGTCAACATAAACTCGATACACACGTGGATTGCAATAAAGTAACATTATAAGAATAGAAAAAAAACATGCTTAAAATTGGTCTAGAAAAAAAGCAGAGATTATATGCAGCTCATAGAAGAGTGTTAATAAGCCCTTTTTACCTGTAGATTGGGAGATGACGCGACTGACGAGACAGGCGATGATATATCTTCCTTGTTAAGGCCCCGTCGATCGATACTTCTTCCTCCCTGCTCCTCCAAGACTTTTTTTTTAATCTCAGAAACCAAGATAACACGGAATATGCTTTTGGTATGAATCACATGGTTAAGCGCAGAAATCGCATATTGATTTCTCTTTATAAACGGCAAAAAACCCGGACCAAATCCAAAGTGTTAGCTGTCTAGTTTTGAAGCCAGGATAACGAAACCTTATTTTTATGAGAAAAAAAATCAATTCTCGATCGACTACAAATATTTCAAATACATAAGCTTTAAGGCTAACACGACATGTTTGAATTCTGGTTTGTGGATTAAGTCCGTTCCAAAGATATAGGGACTGGGCTTTTGTATCTACAAATACTTAGAATGACGTATTGTCATCGATCGATTTACAAGACTCGGGCACTGTAACTCTCCATTAAGCTGCAGAAGGACTCACACAGACATGAGGTAGGTCTCACATACTCTTATACACCGGTTTCAGTAAATTCTGTCTGCTTAACTGTTCCATGTTTTAAAAACCAGGAAGGACGTTTATTTTCCGCACTATTTCCTTTTATCGTTACGATAGAAACATTTATCTGAAACTGCAATCATTTAACATTAAACAGAGTATTGCCGTGGTATTTTCTAATATTTTCACGTCTTGCTTATGGTCAGAAAATTAGCTTGGTCTTACTGCATGTCTATATTGGACAGTTAAATGCCATTCTTACCACGAGAGGTGCATGTGTTTTAACAGGTATTATATCATTTCAATTCGCTTGAGTAAAATGAACCTACAAGTACATATGTATTACGTGCATTTCATTTTTTTTTTTAAATTTCTGTTTTCTTTTACTTCAATGAATATACGAGTAAACAACAACAAAATATTCGGGTATGTTGTTAGTACTCACTCTTTGATACTTTCAATTGAGGTTGTTGACTTCTTCCTTTTCAGTTGTTGAGATAGACAAGTACGTCTGTACCTAGCCAGACAGTGTGTACTACCAGTCCACAAGATAAGGGTACACAGATATCAAAATGAGGTCGCAATCTCGAGCCTACCCCTCTGTTTATTATCGTCCTAACGAAGCCATGGATATGACGCAAAATTCCCGAGGGGAACATCAGCTTGGCAGTCCGCATGCACACGCCATAGACTTCGGCTTCAACGAGCGTCTGTCTGTAGATATCAATGCTCGCAATGTCAGCTACATCGTCAATCCAAAGAAAATGTCCATACTGCAGCGTTTGGGCGCGTTACAGTTGCCATGGGAATGGAGTGATGATGCTATGCCCCAACAAGTGCTGCAAAACGTCACCTTCTCCGTCAGAAGCGGCCATATTTTGGCTATTCTTGGGACTTCCGGTGAGATTTTTAGAAGCATCTTTCCAAATAACGAGTTATTTTACTCGATCTCTATCCACCAATTCAGTAATGAAAAAATTATACTTACACGTTCAGAGGTATCTTAATCTTAAACATTGCTTGTCTATGCAGGTATATTATTATTTATCAAATCAGAGTATTCGATAAGTTATCCCATGATGATATTTAAACACTTTAATATTGAGTAAACACTCTTTGGTAATGGAATTTGTAATATAAGTGTATGTATTCAATTTAAGAAAATATAAAAATTTGTCTTTTAGGGTGGTATGCATCGTTCAAAATTTCATAAAACGATTTCATATATTCATCGAAAAAATTCTAATAAACCACATTTTACGGTCTTGGATCGGTTTGTGTAACCTTTCTAAAAAGAGAATTTTAAGAATGCAATACAGAAAATGCCAAAGGATATAGGATTTTTAAAGGATGAAAAATGTCTTGTTGAATATCACGGGTTTTGATGTATGGCATAGTTCAGTTACGTGCGTAGGAACAATATAATAACTTGAAGGAAAATAAGATATCGATTTAAGGAAGACATTTTGAAAACCAAAGATCTTTTAGAGATTTTGTAGCCACTAACACTTATAAAGGTTAGTTTATTAGAGTCCCAATTTAAACATCACGATTTCCGTCTCTAATATTTTTTTATGCGTGTGGGTTGGGGATGTTGCAGTCATTTTTTTCATTTAATATTGGACACTGTTTATACCCTGTTTCCAAGACTACTTATTTATCAGAAGGTGCAATTCTGGATTTTTTTTTTGTCAACTGTTAACGATGCATAATTAGCACTTTATTTTCGCCTGAATACCGAGGAATCTGTGAATTGCACTCACATGAATTTTGAAAAGAGGGTCAGCTTGCCCTTGAGTGTAAAAGTACTGGTGTAGATTTTTATTATGTTGTGTACAGACCAGCATCTTGCTCCAAGTAAATACACGAGGGTTGATCCGAAAGAAATGTCACAACTGCTATAAAATCTTAAATAATCAAATGTTATCAATAAAATTTAAGATACTTATACCCCTATCTATTTTGATTTTTGCTTTAAAATTTCATTCGATTATATAAAGTACTTTGTAATATATCAAGATTAAAACACAGCTTTAGGTTTTGTCTATCGCCGCTCGGTAAGAATGTTGACGTCGTAATGACGTTACTTTTTCGGCACTCACTTTCAGTTCATCTGCATATCTTTTAAATCTCTCATGTGCCTGCTTCTTTTTAATAATCATTACTACCATTTTGCTTTAAAAAGTCTTGTTTTGAGTTGTATAGTATTAAACTTATTTGATCTTTGTCCAAATGTTATTTTTAAATCCATTTCTTTTGCATAGAACTTATGTAGCATCACGATAGACGATACAAAAGGTTGTATTTATTGAAGTATTTTATAAAGTGTTGCTTATTATCTGAATGAATTTTAGGACAAAAGTCAAAATAGATAGAGGTATTAGTATAAAAAGTTTTCTTCAAAACTTTCGATTATTAAAGATTTTATAGCAGCTCTGACATTAGTTTTGGATCAATCCTCGTAATTAACACATGACTATGTCAAACAACCATACATAAGAAAATTCGAACTTTCTTTAAATATGAATGGAAACTGATAATTTCAATTCACATGCGTCATCCAAAGGGCGTGATCCATATAGCTTGAGTTTTGGGTCAGAGGGGAACTCTTTAGATAGATCTACTTTACTTAAAGATGCTGAAATCATGTACTTATATAGACAATAGACACATACACCTTTTCATGTGCAGCTTGAAGCAATGTTACGTGCGTTTTACTTTAAGGATTGTAACACACAATTACTAGTATCCAAGATTTTTGAATATTATGCCTAGTTATCACAATCCACCAAGTTTTGCGAGTACAAGCACCTTAGTTTAACGAGCTAGTAAACTTGGCTCTTGGCCGTAGTTTATAATAATTGTTCAATAATTAGATTGGTTTAATTTGTTTTGGCAGACAAAGCTATGGGTTTTGAACAAGCTTATACAAATAAGCTTATGAATATTTCATGCAGACAGGGATTCCATAATTGGTTTTTAGAGGGTGGGTGGGTGTTTCTCATTCAATTTGTCTATTTAAATGATGTTTTCCAAAAAATCAAGAACATATTGAAAACAAAATTAATTATTTTCTCTATACATGTTATAAATAATTCATATCACTCTTCTATGTACATGTATGTACACATAGAATCTAGAAAGTCAGTAAAACAGTGGCATGCTATAAGTCAACAAACGCATAATTTGTCATGCACTTGTTCTCTTTCAAAAATTCCAGGAAGCGGAAAGACTAGCCTATTGGACGTTTTGGCAGGACGGAACGATGGCGGAAGCGTCGAGGGGGAAATGTTCCTGAATGGTGTGCCGTGGACTCGCCAAATGGTGCGGTCTTGCTCCGCTTACGTCAGACAGGACGATCGTCTGCTAGCTCACCTCACGGTCAAAGAAACGCTTATGTTTGTAGCACAGCTGAAACTTCCAGCATCTGTCTCTAAGGAGGACATAGAGCACAGGGTAAAAATAGAAAACCGGATGTAAACTTAAAATTTAATGCCACTTACAAAAGAGGCAAAGTCTCTAACTAATTACTGTAGTCCTTAATACATGTGTTCAATTAAAGACGTGTTCTTGACTTTTATAAATTTATCTTCTATAGGCCTGTACATTCTCATCTTGAAAATGTAGTTCACAGAATGATGATACTCCATAGCGCTAAGTAGAATTAAAATTCTTTTATGTATGCATGTAAATATTAACCTGTTTAAAACATTTCATGTGAGCAATAATCAGAGACAAAAGAAACACGATTTCAAATTTTTATAATTTAATGCGTTATTTCTGCATATTTGGTCGTTGTATATATTTAGAAAAAAGTGTATTCTAGAAAGAATAACATGACCAACCGACCACAGAAATGTAAGATACACACATATTTATCCACAGTTTGCATCTATAAGTATCATCTACGTATATTAGTTTATAATTCATCTACATGTACTAAGAATGAACCAACAGGTTTTAAATCGAATCTGACTGGCCCTCCATAAAATATAAATGGCCATTGCACCACAGGGACTGTTGCAGCAGACGTTTGTCTCAGGATTTAACGTTAAGGATATCCCAGTGTAAGTCCATGTGTTCTTTGGATGTTGAATCCCTTTTCTTTATTTTAAAAACTATCTTGCAGCTGCCTTGCCTATATACATTCTCAACAACTTGCAATCGTAAGTAAACGCGCAAGATATCAGAACGTTGAAAAATTGCAAGTTGATACGAATGTCAGCTGTTAAGTTGTCCTTCGATAATTTGCTCTTAGATAACCCTTAACCTATAGGATATGTTTATGTTTTTAACATTTTTATCGAATAAATTCTTTATGGATAAAATTGTTATGAAATTGTTTTGAAGCTTAAACTATCATTGATAACGCATAGATATACCTGTATGTACAGGGTAAGCGGTTGTATTTGTTTTACACGTGCGCATTAATAATTATCTGCAGATGACACTATGACTATCAAGGAACACCCGTTTTAATCAATTATATAACATGTATTTGTAGTACAATTAATGAATATTATGTCGAATTATTTTTAAAATAACTTTTTAAAAAACTGAGAAATGCCAGGATGATCCAATCTCTCTCTCTCTCCCTCCCCCTCTCTATATATATTTCCTAGCGGAGACGATTTTATCTATTTTCTGTAAATTTAGTGTAAATTTCATTTTGTTTGTTTGTCTGTATGTTTCCTTTGCGTCCC